CAATGACTAAACAACATTAAATCTTTTAAATGAACCATATTCGTACATCATTTAAAGTTTACCTGAACTGTTTACATCTCTTATTTTTTTAATTATTAATATAGATTCAACTATTCATCATGGTAGAAATCATCCTTATTCACAAGAATCATCGAATCGTTTCATTCACAGTACACAAACAGATAATTATGCTACATATCCATCAGTTTATAATGAATTATTATCACAAAAATTAACAAATAAAAGTAATAATACTACTACTACTAATAATAATAACAGTAATAGTAATTATTATTATATGTCTGAATTAAATAATCATCAAATTATTAAGAAACCAAATGTACCAATTAATACTGTCACATCAAAAAAGAATCAATTAACAATTCCATTAAATAATGAACCAAATCAAAATTTAGAAAAATCACCACGAATTGCTAGAAAACCTAATGCAATTAGCATCAGTAATAATCATAATTCAACAAGAATCATTTCAGAAAATCCAATCATTGAATCATCATCGAAAATCAATAGAATTTCAAGTCCTGATCATCAATTATATACAAGAAAATATTTAAAATCTGATTATAATAATAATAATAATAAAAAGAAATTTTTATCAAATGAAGATGATTCAAAACTCACACAGAATACATTTGAAAAGCCTTCACAAATGTATGCACTGCGTAGAAGTTTATCACAACCTTGTATTTATGAACCAGATTTAGACAATGAAGAAATGGACAGGTGAAGTGAATATACTATTTATTATATTTTCAATTAGAGTTATGGAGATTAGTGGTTTTTACACATTTTTGAAATCATCAATCAATCATTGTTAGACCACCATTAGAAACCTGGAAACACTGGACGGCCGTTTTGTCCTGGTATGGGACTCATCAGTGGCAGTGCGCATCCACGACTCCTGCACCTCACAGGATTCGAACTCGGGACCTTCGTTTTTAGCGTGCGAATACCTACCCTCTGGAATACTGAGGTCGCGAAAAATCCCTAGATCACTCAGAGTTAGACATCAAGACAGTGGGATGCCAAACCACTGGCCCAGACGTTAGGTGTTTGCACACAAGACCGAAGGCCCTGAGTTCGAATCCTACGTGGTGCAGGAGTCGTAGATGCGCACTGCCACTGATGAGTCCCATACCAGGACGAAACGGCCGTCCAGTGCTTTTTAGGTTTCTAATGATGGTCTAACAATGATTGATTGATGATTTCAAATGTGTAAAAACACTACTTATTCGTAACTGATACAAATTCATTTGGATATATATATATATATATATATAGTTACATTCAAAATCTCATTGTGTTATGTTACATATACAGTCTCACAATGAATATACTGGGTTTCTTAAAACTGTATTATAAAGCTGGATACATTAATGATATCTTCTTGAAGTGATTTATTTATGAAAATTGACAAGCTAATGATTACAATGGGCTATTTTACCTAAATTTATAACAATAAAAATAAATTTCTGTTTGTATGTTGACAAAAAAGACGCTCAATGTATTCAGTGTACTTACTTATTTACATACGCCTGTCACCCCCAAATGGAGCGTGGGCCGCCCAGAAGTTTTCTCCAACCAACTCTGTTCTGGGCTTCCCTATCCAGTTCTGTCCAATGTTTGTTCATTCTTCTCATATCTTTCTCTATTTCTCGACGTAATGTGTTCCTTGGCGTTCCTCTTTTCCTTTTGCCTTGAGGGTTCCATGTGAGGGCTTGTCTTGTGACGCAGTTAGGTGCTTTCCGCAATGTGTGTCCTATCCACTTCCACCGCTTCTTCCTGATTTCCTCCTCCACTGGAATCTGGTTTGTTCTCTCCCACAGTACGTTGTTGCTGATGGTGTCTGGTCAACGAATCCGAAGTATTTTGTGTAGACAAGTGTTAATAAACACTTGTGTCTTCTGGACGATGGCTTTGGTAGTTCTCCACGTTTCCGCTCCATACAGTAGAACAGTCTTGACATTTGTATTGAAAATCCTGATTTTGGTTTTGGTTGAAATTTGTTTGTAGTCGCAGATATTTTTCAACTGTATTTCGTTGTAAAAATACTCTCATTTAATATATGAAGTATAACTTTTTTATATGATTACAATTTCCAAAAAAATCGATTTTCATGTGTTGATATGGAGTTTTATTATATTTAGAAAACCTATTCAATGAGTCTAAATGTCATTATGTGATAGATAGTATGATTTAAATAAAGTTAAGTAATATATTTTCAAATTTTTTTTATCTATGTTTTAAGATACGGAAATTCGGAAAACTTAAGAAGTAATCTTGCAGTTACAATCGTGTACTAATTACTTTGATAATTGAAACTCTTTGAGTAGGGTCGTTTAAATAAATTCTGTAACTCTTTTCTCTAATACTTTAAGTTGGTCCATACCTACCTAGCCAATAGTTCATGGGGTGAATTTGTTACAGATCAAACTTATTTGAGGTATATTACTAAAAAATTACAGCACACTAGTCAGTTGTTTTGTCTTAATGCACTGAACTCCTTAACAATGTCCTTTATAAGACGTCACCAAAGAGTTTCAGGTATCACACAGAACACTTAACCATTAAGATCACTGATACATCATCTTCAAGCAGTACATTATCACTACATATGGCATATGTAAGCAATTAAGGTATGAAAGTTTGAGAATTTTCAGATGTAATGTTTTAGTTACAATCGTTTATAAATTACTTTGACAATTGAAACTCTTTCAGTGGCGTTGTTCGATAAAAGTTCTGTAACACTCTTCTCTAACAGCTTAAGTTATCCTATACCTACGTAGTCAATAGTTCATGAACTAAATTTGTTACAGATCAAACTCATTTGACGTATATGACTAAAAACTAGAGCGCACTAGTCAATTGTTTTCGCTTAATATATTGAACTCCTTAACCATGCCCTTTCACATACGTCACCAAAGATCAAATCAAAGAATTCCAGGTCTCACACACAACGCTTAACCATTAAGATTACTGACTAGCTGTACATTGTTATTACATATGGCACATATGTTAATACATTAAAAAAGGATTACTTATCAAATTACATTTATTGTATATATTTTCACACCTTTATATATATCTAATACAGGTCAAGTTCTTTTCAAAATGATTCTCTTATCAAACAACAAATCAATGAATTAAATATTCATAAATCATCAAATGAATCAATTGATTGTGAAATCTTAGACATTGATTCAAATGCTTCATCATCTGCATCAGCAACAGCAGCAACCGCAGCATTATTGTGGTTTAATAATGAATACACCACAAATGATTATTATAATACAAAGAGAAATACTTACAACAATGATAATAGTGATCATAATCATAATCATAATGATAATGATCAATATTGTTGTTTACAAGATACCAATCAATTATTACCAACATATTCACGTATTATTAATCAAGTTGATAAATTACCAAAACATATTGAAGTAGATAGTGAAAAAGATTATGAATATACTAATTCTAATGCTACAACAAATCAATCAAGTAGTAGTATATTAATTCAAACAAATCATCATCATCATAAAAAAATACAACATAATAATTCAATGTTCAATGATCAATATAATAATAATAATGATGAGAATAATAATAATTTAAAAGTGATTCATACAACAAATAATATAAATGATATGAAAAAGTAAGTAATATATGCATATTTTAAAAAAAAAATAGATTTCAAATATAAGAGTGATATTAGTTAGACCACTATTGAAAGTCTAAAAGTACTGGACAGTTGTCTCGTTCAATTATAGTCTAGTCTAGAGTCTAGTCTTGTATGCATGAACCGTTTTGGACTATTGATCAAAAAATCTAATGATATGCGAGATCATTGTTAGACCACCATTAGCAAAAACTTGGAAGCACTGGACAGCTGTTTTGTCCTGGTATGGGACTGACTCATCAGTGGTAGTGCGCATCCATGACTCCTGCACCTCGAAAGATTCGAACCCGGGACCTTTGGTATTGTGTGTTAAAAAAAAAACAAACAAAAAACTCCAAAACTCTGCCGGAAAATATCGTAACATGTGCTCACTGGTGACTAGCTTCTTCGTGAGGAAATTCTCGGAGTTCTAGTTGAGAAGACGTGACTAATGGAGTTCAACCCTGTCGGGTGTAGGCAGTAACTACCAAAGACAAATGGGTGAGGTCGCGCAAAAATCTGTAGATCAATCAGAGTTAGACATTAACATCGTTGGATGCCGGCCCAGTGGTCCGATGCTTAGGCGTTCGCGCACAATAACGAAGGTCCCGGGTTCGAGTCATGCGAGGTGCAGGAGTCGTGGATGCGCACTGTCACTGATGAGTCTCATACCAGGACGAAACGTCCGTATTCCAGTGCTTCCAGGTTTCTGCTAATGGTGGTCTAACAATGATTGATTGATGATTTCAAATGTGTAAAAAAAACACGAAACCTCCAAAACTGCCTGAAGATATGCGAGATGTTCAAATTGATCATTCTTCATTGTCTTCACAATTGAAACAATTGAGCACCGTCAGTGATGGCTACTTATCGGAACTTCAAGAAGCACATGTTGAATTTAATCATTGGTGAGCACATAGGTTTCATTTGGTAATATGAAATCTTTTGGGGCAGAGTTTTCGAGGTTTGTGTTTTTACACATTTGAAATCATCATTCAATCATTTTTAGACCACACCATTAGAAACCCAAAAAGCACTGGACGGCCTTTTCAAACTGATATGGGACTGACTCATCAGTGGCAGTGCGCATCCACGATTCCTGCTCCTCGCAGGATTCGAACCAAGGACCTTCAGTATTGTGCCTAACAATGGTCGATTGATGATTTCAAATATGAAATCTATGAAAATCCTAAGATCTTCACAAAACTGTGTATCGTCCGTCAATACATCGAAACTGTGACTTTCTTTGATATTAAGGAAAACAAATTCTGTTGCACTTTTATATTATTCAATTTTCTACAACATTTTAACAATTCATATTGTTTTTTATTCTTCTGTACTCATTTCTAGATCAATATATGAACAAGATGAAAAAATTTATAGTACCGTACATATATCAAAACATTATCAACAAACAAATCATCTGGATACTAATGATTCATCTATTTTATCAAACTCATTATCTAAATTGAAATTATCCAATTCTACTACTGTTCAACATGATAAAATTATTAAAACTAATAATACTTCTATTACTATGATAAAGAGTAATAATTATAGTAATAATAGTAATAGTAATAATAGTCATAATAGTAATCCTGATTTCACTAAATCTCTAAAACATACAACTGATGATCAATTGAATAATTACGAATTTGATTTAACTAATGATTCAGGTATATCATCAGTAAATAAAGATTTAACTATAACAAGTGGTGTAATATGTTTACACAAAGAAATAAATCATATGGTATTTGGTCCATGTCGTCAGTCTTTTACTCATATCACATCAAATAGTACAATTCATGAACGTAACAGTACACCAACATGGTTAGCTATATGTACAGATGAAATGACAGTATTCGTGTATGATTTATGGGTAAGTGAAATTATTTTTTGAGTTATGATAGAAATAATAATAATAATAATAATATATGAACAATATTTGAAATTGATAACGAAAGTGTACAAGGTTTTAATTTGATTTCAGTTATAATTAGATGCATAAAATTATAAAATAAGCATGATAAGTTCGTCACTTAGTATGCTTAAGGCTATTACGAGTTTACCTTAGTCGATAAACGCGAACGAGACTTTTACCAGCTTCCAGGGAGGCTACCTTGTTACCGAGGCTGAAGTGAAAAGTCTTTGTAAGCGTAGAAAGTATATTCTACAAACACCCAGCAATCACAGTACGATCAAGCATACAACTCTCGTTTATTTATACAACATAAGAACGTCATTGAGACAGTTAGGAAAAAAGCATACTAAAATACACAGCAGCCAATGACAGCCATGGATTTTCGTGGTGGGAATTGAAATCTCAAGGTCATCTGATCAGCCCACGCTGGCAAAACGTGAAAACCAAAATACGGCATTATCAAGCGAATTTTGGGGATCTAAAATCCCCAACAAAGCAAAAAACAGATGATATTAGTCACAAATTCGCCTCTGTCTTGATAGGATGGAAAACCAAGAAATGCTAGATAATTATTTCTTTCTACTATGAGACTGTTGGGGATGTTAGATCCCCAGAACTCGCTTGATAAATAATATCTTTATTTTGGATTTATTTTACATGGGTTGATCAGTTGACCTTGAGATCATATTCCCCACCAGGAAAATACTTGGCTGTGATTGGCTGCTGTGTATTTTAGTGTGCTATTCTGTGACTGTCCCAAAGACGTCTCTATGGAGTATAAATAAACTCGATTTGTGTGCTTGAATCCATTGTGTGCTTGCTGGGTGTTTTTAGAATACACTTTCTACGATATATCAAGACTTTTCGTTAGCTGTTTGGGATCAACGGATCAGAGTAGCCTACCTGGACGCTGGTTCATTGTCTCGTTCTCGTTTATCGACTAAGGTGAACTCGTAATAGTTTTAAGCATACTTAGAGATGAGCATAACAGAGACTGATCAGCAGTGCAAGTCACCAATCTGAACATATATCAAACCTAAGATCATCTGTTCTTACCTGATTCTGTGACAGTTGAAGACTTTAAATTCGTATTCTGGTGAAGTCAGAAATATTCACTTCTGAGTATTCAATAGTACATCGAGTTAGATGAGTTCCTGACTAATCTCAACTAAAAAATTTAAAACGACTTCCATCATCTCCTATCGTTGAAACTTGAAAATATTTGATATTTTTACTGAGAAAATTACACTTAATATAAAAATGTGAAACAGTATGTAATTATGATAATGACGTTTTACTGAAGTTGTGTAAGAATACATTGCGAAAAAAGTCGTTAAATCTTACAAATTTAGCAATGGCGCAGATGTATCCACTCTTTGAGTTCTCTGAAATTCTAGTCATCTGAAATCCTCATCATCTCTATCTTTCTTTATCTAAAGTTATCTCACCGAATAATACTTATTAGATAATATCTCCTAAGTAGAATCTTCTTCATAACCACTAATACTTCTAATACCTATACTACTTAATGGGATTTTAATTGACAATTGCGTCTCTGTGCTAATGTGGTATGGCAACTTGAACTTATGTACGGACGTATGAAGTTCTACGTTGCTGTTGATTGATTGAATGATTGTTTATTTTTATTGAAAACTAAATAATTTCATTGTCATGAATATTAAACGTTAATATGGTTTGACAATAGATACAGTGAAAATCTTGTTAAACAAAGTATTATGACAATAGACTAAAGTTGTATAAATAAGAATACATTGCGAAAAAAGTCGTTAAATCTTATAGCTTTTACAATGGCTCAAATTCTAATCTTCTGAATTTCTCATCACCTTCATTTTTCACTCTTTACGTTTATTTCACTGAACAATACTTATTGGATAATATCTTCGGAGCCCTAATCTCTACAATTACTGCTAACGCTTCTACTACCTTAACAACTATGGGATTCGAATTGACAAGTGCATCTCTGTACTAATGTGGTATGATAACTTGAAATGATGTACGAACTTACGAAGTTCGTACATTGTAGATGACTGACTGACTAACTGTCTGAAATCTTACAAGTGATTATTTTCACTGTTGATAAATTTCCCAGTTCCAGTTTGTCTAAAATCAATGTTTAGGCATTATTTTGTTCAAATCACATGCAATCTTTCATTTATTTCTGATCATTTAAAAACACATGTACTACAAACTATATATATAACATACTTTAATATAATGTTTCTGAAATTTTTAATTGGAATTTGAAAGAAAAAAATAAGACATACATTGTTCATCGGCGGTCTTGTTTATTAAGTCCATCAATTTTCATTGGCAGAACTGTTTGTTCTTTCTTTCAATGATTCCTTTTATTGATTTAAGTGACCCAATCTACTAATAAATATTAAACGATATAATGAAATAATGAAGTACTATAGTAAGATTTTTAAAAAACAGTGACCGATGGAGTTCAACCCTGTCCGGTGTAGACAGTAAATACCGAAGACAAATAGGTGACGTCACGCAAAATCCCCTGATCAATCAGAGTTCGACATGAACACCGTCGAATGCCGGCCCAATGGTTCAGTGGTTAGGTGTTCGCGCACCAGAACGAATGTCCCGGGTTCGAATCCTGTGAGGTACAACAGTCATGGATGCTCTCTGTCACTGATGAGTACTATACCAGGCAGGACAAAACGGCCATCCAGTGATGTCTGGTTTCTAATAGTGGTCTAACAATGATTGATTGATGATTTCAAAAAATGTGTAAAAAAAACCACTAATCACCATAACCCGTAACTGGAAAAAAAAACACAGTATATCAATTTATTTCAAAAAAGCCGAAATAAAAATAACATCCACTATTTTTAGTCATTCATATCTATATATATATACAGGAAAATTGCAAAATATTGTTTATTTTTTTAAACTAGGTTGAAACGATTGATTATCCCACTTAATAATTTTGATATAAACTGTAATGTGTTGTGTAATAATATAATAACTATCAAGGCATAATAGCTTTATGCTTAGTTAAAATTTCATTAGTATAGTTTATGTAGGCTTTGGTAAAAGTAATCTGATGATCATATGTCAACATGACTATCATTATTATTATTATTACTATTAAGGCAGAAGAGATAGAAGATGTTACACACGAATAAAAAAAGGTCTGTGCATATTAATAATTTCATGATATATATATTTTTTTGATAATAAAATAAAAATAGCCTAAGGAAACCCATTAAGTAAAACTGTGTAAAGCATGCTGAGTAGTAGTAGTAGTAGTAAGCAAACTACCGAGTATCGATGATACTCGTATGTTGTCACATCTGGATGTGACATTTATTCCACACAACAAAAAATACAAAAACCAAGTTAACCATATGATGTCAGTAAGAATTAGTTTGTTTTGTTTTTTTCGTTTGTATGAAATTGCTCCATTAACGGCTTTCATACAATGTTTTTATTTATTAAAAAGAGTGGTGAATCGTGAATGTGAAAGACTGTTGTAATGAGGAAAAAAAACACACAAGCTTAACGTATAATCTATACATAAGCAACTTGAACTGCTGAGACAGCACACACGATCAAATCAGCATGGTATTTGTTTGTTTTTGGTAATAATAATAATAATAATAATAATAATTTGATTTATTGTTGACTGATTGTTACTTTCGAGTTTTTATAAAGATACTACTTTAATCTTTTTAAAAAAACGCCTATCAGTTGGCAGCGCACAAAGTAAAACAGTCAAACAAGATGCTAAAATTCTAAAATATTTCCTCTGCTATTGTTGGGAATGTTAGATCCCTAGAACTCGCTTGATAAATGTCTTAATTTTGGATTTTATTCGTGGGCTGGTCAGCTGACCTTGAGATTACATTTCCCACCAGGAAAAGCCTTGGATGTGATTGGTTACTGTGTTATTTTGGTGTGCTATTTTTGTGACTGTCCCATGGATGTCTCTATGATGTATAAATATACGCTATTTGTGTGCTTGAGATTATTATATTTTCTTGGTGCTTGTAGAATATACGTTCTACTCTATATCAAGACTTGTCGTTAGTTCCTTTGGGTGAACGGATCATAGTAGCCTACGTGGATCTCGGTTCATTGTCTCGTTCTGGTTTATCGACTAAGGTGAACCTCCGTAATAGTTTCAAGCATACCTAGTAGTGACAAGCATAACAGATATCAATTTTATTTCAAACAAATTATAACTCAAGGTCGACGACTGGCATCTTGGTTATTTTGCGAAAATAGATACTTATCTTGTTAAAAATTAGTGCTAGAATCAAACATTAAAAGAATCCGAAACTTTTTAAAAGAAAAATTATTCTCCATACATGACGAGAAAATCAATTTGAGAAATTTAACCCCTACTGTGTGAATCTAAAATATGACAAGATATCGTAAAAGCTACAGTCATCAATATCACTTTCTTTGTCAAATGAACATCTTACTGTTTTATTCCTTTATTGATAATAAATGTTTCCTAATCTTGAAAACCACTAAAAGATATGGTCATAGATATTTTTAACATTAAATTTACTGCACATATTTCAATCTTGACTTCAACAAAGTTAATGTTACCATATACTTGGACAAAATAGCTTCAGCCTTAGTCAAAAGCAGCATCGAAAGAGTTCTGCCTAAAGTAACAGACAAAATGTCTGAAACTGTTTTGCATTAAGAAAAAGCAGGACAATTCAATAAGGGCAAATGAATCAACCGAATTCATCAAACGATAAGCTAAAAAGTTCAGTTTACCAATTCCATTTCTACCTTTTGAAAATGTTTCACTTTTCTACTTGAGTTATATGTATTAACTATGATCTCATATAAGTCAGGCGAAGAATTCTCAATGTATCTTTATAGAGATTTTGAGAAACCTCAAGGACTAATCATAAAATATGAAACATTCATGAACTGACTGTTTAAATAACTCACAAGTTTTGATGGTCAGTAACTTGTATTATATGAAGCAAAAGCAAAAGAGTGAAACTGTGAATCTGTTATGCTTGTGAGTTGATATGCTTGAATGCTATTACGAGTTCACCTTAGTCGGTAAACGAGAGCGAAGACAAATGATCCTGTGACAGGATAGGCTGTGCTAATCCGAACATCCTAATGCCTCACTAAGTAGACGAAGAAGTCATGATATGGCGTAGAAAGTGTATTCTACAAGCACCCAGAAAATATGAGGTTAAAAAGTACACTAATCGAGTTTATTGAAACATGATAGAAACGTCCTTCGGAGAGTCACAAAAATAGCGTACCAAAATAACACATCAACCAATGACAGTCAGGGATTTTCCAGGTGCGAAATGCAATCTCATGGTCAACTGATCAGCCAATACGCGAAAGCATAAAATTCATAATTAGGACATTTATCAAATTAGTTCTGGGGATCTGACATCGGCAACAGAATCATAAGAATTTCCATGGTGTAGGCTGATTTGCACTACAACATTCATACTGATTTTGAATCCTAATAACCTTCTATTTATCCCGTCTTCTAACGTGTCTAATTTGGCCTTAATCTCTGTCTTACCGTTTTTTGTATAGAATTCTTCATAACTTGACAGTATCAGTGAGTATTAGGATGAATTGCTCAGCTATTAATAACGGATAATCTCAACAAATCAAACAATAACCAAGGCTTAAATGATATTTTTGCTCATTTAGTTGAGATCTAAGCAAATTTATGTAACAGACAATTCCGAGAATTCGAATCACTATTTCCCGGGGAAAACCAATCAAATGCTGACGCTGGATTTTAATAAAATCTATCATGTTATGCCATAGAAGAAGAATATTAATTACCCCTCTAGAATGTTTTACACCATTTAGCCTGTTATGAATGAGAAAATTTACCATTCACAGCATACATAGTTGATAAAAACTCGCAAGTCACAGTTTAACAAAACAACCTCTTGATACTACAAAAAACGGATACCAGTAAAATTACTTGATAATCAGGAAAAAAAACATCATTAATATTCAGTGAAAAATCAATCAATTTACAAATTTCATTATTACTCAGTAAAAAGTAGAAATCAAGTTTACAAAAAAAAATTCAATATACTATTGGTTACTTTATAGCTAGCTCTATGCTATCATTCATCCTGTCTAAGCATACATTTACAATTAAACTATGCAAAGTTATTACTCATATATGTCACTTCATTTTGTTGAAAAAACTAAACTGATACTCGTTTATGTTTCCTTAGTGTAATTCATTGCAAAATCAACGAGTAATGATTAAGAGGAAAAGAGAAAAAATTAAAATTCTATCACAATAAATTTTTGTTCAAAGAAATGAGAAATAATAATTTTTTTGTAAAAATAAAAAAATTCATTGTTATTGAATCTTGAATAAAATATGTTTTACGTCTGTAAATAAAATGAAAGTACATTTTTCATGCAATGTGTATCTTGTGTTATGCAATAAATGTAGCTAAGATGTTTTTAAAAAAGGGCATAATACAAGTTGACTGTTACATTCTAGCAATGAACTCCTTGACAAACTTCATTCACATTCCCTCTAATCATAAATACACCACTAATCGACCAGTTCACACATCTTTTATATTCATAAAGTTCATGTTCTCTCTACTAACTAACTCTACTATCAACTTGAAACTAATCGAAAGCTAAATTGCACTCAACAAATGTCTCATTGTAGTCCAGCTCTCATTATTTGTGTGTACGTACAACTCGGAGCTAGATTAGAGCACTTAGTCAATAGCAAATTCACTGCACAGATCACATCTTGTCTTTATGATTTCGTCAGATTTTTAACTTAATAATAACCAACTATATGAGAAGTTAATAAATGCTACCTACTTACTTACTTTCACCTGTTACCGTTAGTGGAGCATAGGCCGCACACTAGCATTCTCCAGCATACTCTGTTCTTGGCCTTCCTTTCCAGTTCTGTCCAATTGTTGTTCATTCTTCTCATATCTGACCAATTTACACAATTCTGTTTTATTTATAGATTTTGTGTTTTTACTACTGACTAACTCCGTTATCATCTTGAGAACCTATCGAAAGCTACATTGCACTAAACAACTGTTTCATTATAGTCTATAACTAAACAGTAATGTGATAGCACAACTCGGAACCAGATCAAAGCAATTAGTGAATATCTGATTCACTATCAACTCTACTGACTACGCAAATCACATATTCTCTTTAGAATTTAATTCAGATTTCTTTCCTACTAATTACCGACCATATAATCTATCAATAAATGATCCTTACTTTCTTACTTTCACCTGTTACCCCTAGTGGAACATAGGCTGTCGACCAGTGTACTCTGTTCTTGGTCTTCCTTTCTAGTTCTGTCCGACTGTTGTTCATTCTTCTCATTTCTGTCTTCCTTTCTCGGCGTAATGTATTCCTTGGCGTTCCTCTTTTTCCTTGACCTTGAGGATTTCAGTGTAGTGTTTGTCTTGCGATTCATTTGGATTCTTTCCTTTATATGTGTCCTGCCTACTTGCAGCTTCTCTTCTTGTTTTCTTCCTCTGCTGAAAAATCAATAAATGTATTTAACTAAGAAGACGAAAGAGTTTTGTATATAAAAAGATTGTTTTAATGAAATGTTTTCTTTTAATTGCCTCAAATTAAATTGATACAATAATTCCAGTAAATATTTAAGATATTTTGTAACATAAGTGTATTTATTCTGTTAATCAACGTTTTGTTAAAAATTCATATTTTCTTTATACTTACAAAATAAATACACAATTATTTAATCTGAATTAACAATATACTTACTTTTAAGGCATACATTTATAGTTTTCAAGTATTTAGCTATCACTGATTACTGTTTAAACAGTAGATTTTCGGTAAAAATAAATGGTTAATTGTTTTATTAACAATAATTTAGGACAAAATAATTTCTATGTTTGTAATCAGTCATTCTGAAATTAAAATGAAGTTATAGATTTATATAAATAGGGATAATACTTTTGATTGTTTGGCGTTGAACGTACTGAGTTCGAGTCCTGGTTTGAATTACACCACTGAGTTACAGGTGTATCTAGCTACAGAGTCTCAAATAAAACCATTATTACGCCAGCACGAAAACACGTCAACGTGATATACTTGAACTATTACGAGTTTACCTTAGTCGGAAAATGAGAGCGAGGATCAAGGATCCGTTGACACGACATTCTAATCAAATCCGATTATCCCAACTCCCATATTTAGTAAAAAATACGAAGACGTGATATGAAGTAGAACCTGTATTTTACAAGTATCCAGAAAGAACGAGTTCCGAATCCAGAAGAGAATCAGGATCCCGAACTAGGGATCCGGGACCGAGCCCTGGTCCTGGTCTTGGTCATAAAACATTACATATAATGCATATTTATACATTTTGGTCGAATATGAAACAGCATCGAAGTTTTTGACATTGACAGTTAGGTCAACCAATAGGAAACAACATTTGAGGAGACATTGATAGTCAGGACAACCAATAAGAAACAAAATTGGTTCACGTGACATTAATATCTAGGACAACCATAAAACTGACCAGTAGGAATGAACCAATATTAATTGACCAATAATTCTCATAGGATATTGGATAAATATTTGGCGTTCAACATACTGAGTTCGAGTCCTGCTCTGAATGACACCACTGAGTTACAGGTGTATCTAGCTACAGAGTCTCAAATAAAACCACACACTTATCTCACTGATGTAAAAATTAAAAGATTTTTCTCCAAAAATACTATAGTTACATTCAATCTATTTCATATTTATGTAGTGAATAATTATGATTTATTCGTTACCTTCATTTTTTCCACCTTAATTTTTTTTTCTATTTTTAAACTTTTCATTTTACAATAGACTCATAATTGTATTATAGAATTTATGAATCATGTTATATCATCTACAAGTCCTGTAATGTATTTATTTTCAATGAATTCATCGGAATATTATCAAAATGATATAAAAACACATACACATATTGGATTTTTGTGTGTTATACAAAAGAATGGCATTTTAACTTTATACAATATCACTGTAAGTTGAATGAATACATAAAAAAAAAGATTTTATCTAATTTACTATTTTATTTTTTTCTGAATTATATTGCCAGTAATAATAATTAAGAACAGTGTGGATCAACGCACACAAACACACACACTATACACTACACAAGTACATATATTGAGAGAGAGAGAAAGAACGATATAGGAATTCACACAGGAATTGGCGTTTTTGTTTTTAAAACAAAATTGTTTTCGATTAGATCATCATCAGGCTTTACTCACTAATATACAAGAATATTTTTATATGAAAATGTTAAACCAACTAGTCACGGCAATTTAAGAGTCGATAATCACAATGAAATGAAAAAGATTACGCAACTACATATATAACAGGCAAAAGTACAAAAGTGGATAGTAGGAAGACAAGTGTACTGATAGAGTAGTAAGAAAATTATAAAATATGATAACTAAAGTTTTTTGTCAATAGTAGGTCAAAGGTGGATGAATAGACTTCAAATAAACATTACAAAAAATCAAAACTATTACGTACTAAGCAAATACATAAAAATAAAAATAAGATAAAAAATATATAATGTCAGTCGTTAGTTACGACATATTCGGCCACGGAATATATAGGGGTGTCACGAAATACTTCTGAACACATAAATTGGGGTTGAATGTACGAATTCCTATGGCTACTGCTATATTTAGGAGACAGGATCGTACTCTGTTGGGAAATGATTGAGGTATACCATAGATTATTCGAAAAGATCTAGACTTATCTACAATATGACCACTATCAACCACGGGTGTGCTGAGATCGAACTGCGTATTATTTTTGACTGACCCTTCTTAAACCATGCTGGGAGATGTTTACAGTTTCAGTCAGCAAAATTATACAATCCACTTCTTATCATCAAGGAAGCCCCATGTCATTGGATCTAATAAGACGCAAGCATCTCTACATTTTTCCAACAATGGATTCGAAATCACAGCATTTATTTCAACCGTCCAGTGTTATTAGGTTTCTAATGGTGGTCTAAAGCTGACCGATTCATGATTTCAAAAATGTGTAACTTAACTATCTTCACAACACCGTAATGCAAATTACCTGTGCTCACTAGTGACTAGCTTTGTGAGGAATCTTCTCCGAGTTCTAGTGGGAAAATGTGACGAGTGAAGTTCAACCTGTTCGGGTGTAGACAGTAACTACCGAAGATAGTGTATGAGGTTGCGCAACTCCGTGAATTTGATCAAGTTAGACATTAAAACCGCTAGATACCGGCTCAGTCGTCCGATGGTTAGGAGTTCGCGTTCGAATCCTGTGGGGTGCAGAAGTCGTGGATGCGCACTGCCCCTGATGAGTCAGTCCCATACCAGGACGAAACGGCTATACAGTGCTTCGATTCATGGTTTCAAAAATGTGAAAATATATTTTTATCACAAGTAGATAAATCGTTTTAAATTCTCTTAGAATTTATAATTTTTCACTGTAGATTATAAAGATCGTATATTTTCTCTCGTTTTTTTGATGTGTCGAGTTTTTATTTATTCATTTAAACTTGACTTTATGTAACATGTGATTATCGAAATAATATTTTACACTGTGTAGTAAGTAGCTTAACAAGTTTAACAATAATACTATACACAAATCAAATTAACACAATGAAAAATAACATTGTACAATACTGTAAAAGATGTTAATAAGTAGGTTCTTGTTTTTTTTCTGTATAACGTCACAGTATGTTAACAAATGCAATGCAATACATACATACATACATACACGTGATCCATAATGACGAATTTATTATTTTGTAATTTATTTTTCATCAGTTGAATTTCTTTTTAAAATTCATATTTTGTTTGGTGGTTGGTTCATAGAGATCACAAAAATATGATTGACATTACAGACTGACATATTAATCATAGTCAGTAGTGATCTTTATGAAATCTGTTTACTGATAATTAATTATCAAGTGTTCATGAGATATTTAATTCTGCAAATGACTTAAGAGTATAAAATGAGAAGTTGTAACAACTAGTCAGGTTCATTTGTGTTGAGTGTGTATAGCATTTGTCCACAGAAAAACAATAGAGCATGGTCGTATAATATTGTGAATTCAATTAAAGTTCTACCCTCTGCTCTCTAGACGTTCAGCATTCGCACATAAAACTGAAGGTTCTAGGTTGAGTTTTCTGTGCATACTACAATGGAGTACCATACTAGAACGAAACATATAGGTAGTATATCTTTGTTTTCAATGCATATATAACTTAGGCTAATTTGAGAGATTGATCAAATGTATTTTCTTAAAATATCTGACTATTATTCACGAAAGTTTTAGCTTGATGTACATTTAATTTTTTGGAAATAGTGTAATAGTTAGATATATTTTGTTCACTGTTAAAGTAGGATATTTTGTGATCAACTGTTCCATTTGTGCTATTGAGTTTCATTACGAATTGATTTTTAAATAAAACATTATTTCTAAAAATATCTTGTGTATACTTACTATATCTTACTTTATCAATTATAAAAAAATACTGTTCAAACATATTAATTTCTGTTTTTCAAATGTAGACTCGAAATATGATTTCAAGAATTATATTGAATTGTGAAATATGTTGTGCTAGTTTAATTCCATGTCAAGGTCAACTTAATCAATACTTACCTCAATCTATATTTAGTATTGATGTAAATGGTTCATTAACTATATCACAATGGAAAATTATCAAAAATAGTAATGATACAATTCTTAAAGAACCGACAGTATGTGATGAAACATTAGAGATTGGTACTAATATTTTCAAAAAAGTGAGTATTTTTAGGTTTTTATACATATATGTATATATTGTTGCGCCAGCAAGTGACCACGTCAGTTGAGATGCTTGTACTATTACGAGTTTACCTTAGTCGGTAAACGAGAACGAAACAATGACCCAGTGACACGACAGGCTACTCTAATCCGAGTGTCCCAAACCCTCACTGAGTAAAATAAGAAGACTTGATATGAAGTAGAATATGTATTCTACAAGCATCCAGAAAGTAAGAAGTCCGAGTTCGGAAGAGAATCAGGATCCCTGATTGAGGATCCGGATCATGAAACGTTGCAGATAATGCATATTTATACAATCAGGTTGGATAGGAAACAACACTGAAACACATGACACTGATAGTCAGGATGACCATCAGGAACTGACCAGTAGAATTAGACTTACAAATAATTCTCTTAGGAAACTGGATGAATATCCTAACACACATATATATATATATATATATATATATATATATATATGTCAAAGATTGTCCGATATATGAAAAAAATATTATCATCCGATCTACTCAAAGCCCACGCATAATCACAAATTAAAAAGCATGATAATATTAAGTAACCTCAATTTAGAGTATCTGTTCAATCATTTCACATAGAAGAATATTTATCATTCATTGTAAATACTAAGATGTTCAAAACATAATTACAGAAGCGATTGACATTATTTAATGATCGTAAACTATGTGTCACGATTTCCGGATTTGGAAAAGGAATTACAGCCTAAATTACAACTGCTCTTAAAGATACACTGTTACCTCATTTATGCATATATATAGAATGAAAAGCAGTAATTCCTCCAAGATATCCGCCATTTTGTGCATAATGAAAGGATTTATGGCTTTATTGGTATTTATTTTTTAATTAGCTAAAATTGTGTATTATCTAATATGTTAAAGTATTAAACTACCCGTACAGTATGGTAATAAGAACTCAAGTAACCAATATACAAACAGAAAATTCATTATTGATTGATATTTAAATTAGGTAGGAATAAAATCATTAAAAAGTCAATAGTCTCCAAATATAACTGTGTACTAGTGTAGTGAATGAGAACACAGGTGGGGCAACCGAATTGTATTTAACGAAAATTACAGAGTTACTCAGTAAAATCGGAAAACCATATCGTAAATCGTTCATTTGCAAAAGATCAGTTCATCCTATGGAACTGGACTGTTCCTGTTGCAAAACATCAATCCATTGTCACTATTCATGCGTTTCATACAAATTCCATTGTTTTCTAACTCTTCCTTTCTTGATCTTCCCCCCATATTATGCTACCAGACTTTACGTTGACACTCACGTTATATACTACTTATAAGTAGTTCGCACCACAGCACCACACTAGTATCACCTGTTGTCAATGTTGCGCCTACACGTAAACACGTCAACTTGATATACTTGAACTATTACGAGTTTACCTTAGTCGGAAAACGACAGCGAGGGTCGAGAATCCGGTGACACGACATGCTGCCGAATCCGATTATCCCAACCTCCATATTGAGTGAAAATAAGAAGACCAGACTTGATATGAAGTAGAACCTGCATTCTACAACCATCCAGAAGGTACGAGGTCCGAATCCAGAAGAGAATCAGGATCCCGGACTAGGGATCCATGACCGGGTCCTGGTCCTGGTTGTGGTCATAAAATGTTAAATATAATGCGTATTTATACATTTTGGTCGAATAGAAACCGCATCGAATTCTGTGACATTGACAGTTAAGACGACCGATAGGAAGCAAGATTTGGAGTGACACTGATAGTCAGGACAACCAACAAGAGACAACATTGGAGCACGTGACATTGATATCTAGGACGACTATAAAATTGACCAATAGGAATCAACCAATAGGAATTGACCAATAATTCTCTTAGGATATTGGATGAATATCCTAACAGTCAACGGCTTTATGTAAATAGATTCATAGTATTACGATTGCTATTGCAATAAGTCCATCATTATTCAGTGAAATTTTAATTGATGGACAACTTTCGAGCAATATCACAATGGCAGTGATAAAACTATGCTTTAGGTTTGGCGTATTATTTTTCTGGTTAGCGATTTTTTCAGCAAGTTAGTTTTCTACGGGATGGGATCGCTAACCCCATGCCAAACCCTCCTCCATTATCCAGGGTTAGGACCGGCGTTAACCCTGGAACGGATCCAAGTGGATCCCTCCAGGTTTATAGATAGTTATAAATTTACTTGAGGAATTAAAATGGAGAATTAGAGTCAGAAGTTGGGAGTAAGAATTAGAGTTAGATTTTTCATCGTAAAGTGAAATCTATTAATAATAATAACAAAGCTCTGTTCAGCCATATTCATGAATGTATCTCACGCCACAATCTAAAACTCTTTATCTTGAGTCAGATTGTTTCGTTCATAAATTATAATCTCATCGACAAGTGTTACAGGAGCAAAGCATGACATGGATTCGTGAAAACTATTTCACTGTGTCATATGATTAGTGTAGATGTAATATCAGGTTGATAAGAATCGAGCAGATAGAATATATATCCGGAATCTTTCTTTATAAGTACTTCAGACGTCATATACTCAAGACTGATTTATTATTCCATTGTTATGGTATTTAATTTTCAAATCACTGAGCTACCATCATCCAATAGCTTACATTTTCCCATTCCAATCATTCATAATCTTTGCCAGTTTCCATCGGATGTTGACTACTTCATTCCTTATATAAGAATCAGTTAGTTGTTTAGACTTCCCACTAGAACTGCAGGAGCTCATTTCTGAGAAAATCACTATTGATCACATGATTTTGGCTTAGATTGAGAGGTTTAGAAGAAATTCATTTCAATTTTAAGTTTTCAGTAGATACTACTTACTGAGAAGTATAATAGTATGACAAACTGAATATTTAATGCTTCATAGTTTTTAATGATATCTTAACCAAAATTAAACCTCCATAACTTTAATTTCACAATTATACAAATTAACCCTCTATTGGCAAGGGTAATTTTACATTGGTTTTGAGGAGAACCGAGCAGACTGATCACATGTTAACACTACAACGTAAACAGTACGGCTGAATCGCGTGGCGCAATCACACAGGTTCTTGACACCCTGGTGGACCATTCACACAATTTATATACACTGGTACACATATAATGATCATTTCCTATCCATGATCACGTCAATCAGTATGCACAGCATGAAGTCGGTTCGACCAATCCGGCTTATCTGACTGTTAAACTCATGATTATTAGCAATAGTGATATGCAGTACAGCACCCTAATGACAATAACCTTCGGGAATGTTGGAAGCGAATCACGGGGATCAATGAAATCGGTCATTCTGCTAACCAAATTTGTATATGGACTATTACCAATACTTGCCGAAGTAATTCCAAGCCATTCACACTGTTCATCATAACGAACCTTTAGTCTCATAGGAAACCTTCAGCTTTCTAAAGTAATATAGCGCTTATGGGTAGGATCCCTCATTATAACTATCACTAGTAACTGAAATGACTCCTCACGAAAGTTTTACATTCAATATATATATATATATATATATATATATATATATATATATATATATATATATATATATATATATATATATATATATATATATATAGACGCAACTGTCAGTTCAAATCCAAGAATGATAGCAATAATAGTAGTATTAGTAGTAATGGAGAAGATTAGGGAGCGAAGATATGATTCGAGAAGTATAATTCAGTAAGATAAATTTAGAAGGAGAATGATAGAGATTATGAGGAATTCAGAAGGTTAGAATTAGAGAGAACACAAAGAGCGGATGCACCTGCGCCACTGCAAACAATTTAGAGTCATGTCATTCAAGGTCTCTAACCATCAGTGACTGTCGTCTCGCGGACTCCAACCAGGTAGCCTACATCTACCAACATCACTCAATCCACTTGTCAGTGAATTCATGCATTTTTGCCATGTTTTGGTTTGGCCGCCCCTAGCTTTTTTCCAACTTACTCCTACACTGCAAAACATAGCTCGTCGCGGCAGACGGTGGTTAGGCATACGCAACACATGTCCCAACCACCTCAACTGATGAAGTTTCACTACTTCATCTATTGATTTGCCGTCCCTACCCAGAACTAGTTTCCTAACGACAGCATTGCTTATACGGTTGTCCCATGATACACGAGCAATGCTTCGGAGACATCGGTGGTCGAAGACTAGGAACCTAGGGAAGTCCTCTACTCTTAACGGCCAAGTCTCGCATCCGTACAGTAGGACGGAGCGAACTGCTGCACAGTACACTCGTCCTTTAGTGAGCAAACGGATATCTCGCCTACGCCATAAGTGACGCAGGTTGGCAAAAGCCAATCGAGCCTTCTGTATCCGAGCTGAGATTTCGTCAGTCACCAGGACATCGGCACTGATGAGACTCCTCAGATAAGTGAAGTGATCAACACGCTCGACTACTTCACTCCCTATCACTAGTTCAGGTACCGATGCAACCCAGTCTTGAAGCAACATTTTGCATTTCGAGGGGGAAAACCGCATCCCGAACATGCTTGCATTGTTGCTTATGGCAGTCAGAAGACTCTGCATTTTGTCAGCGTCTTCACCAAGTAGGACTATGTCATCATCACCTGGTAGAAGGTCTACTCCTGAAAATTCAGACTTGGCTAAGGTTATTACTAAGAACATGTCTATGATAAAATTAAACAAGAATGAAGAGATTGGACATCCCTGAGGGACACCACTTGAAGTAAAGAATTCCACTGACAGTTCGCCATAAGCTCTCACTTGACCAGTAGTGTTCGAGTAAAGGGCTTGTATAAGGTTAATATACTTCTCTGGTACACCTTTCAATCTATCTATATATATATATATAATTTCTACACATACTTCCTATTGAATAATATAATTTATTTTTATTGCTCTCTTGTTCCATTGTTGTTGTTTTTTGTTTCCGGTTTACTAAACTCGAATCCATTGAAAATCCACTCAGATAATACGTAAAGGAAAACTTGACAATTTTAAATATTGTACATATATACATGATAATTTACGTTCAATATCCAATACTGACATGAAATTGCCTAAAATAGCAATCACTAACAACAACAACAACAATAACAACAGTACATCCATTCATTCATTCAATGATTTAATCAATGCTAATGAATTTAGTTTTATCACAGCATCATATGAATGTAAACAGAGGAATATTCTACGTTTAACTAATTGGATATGTAAATATAAAACATTACATAATACTGTATCATATAATAAAATTTTAACTAATGATTCTAATGCTACATTAATTGATATGACAATTGTTGAAAGTGGTTGTTCTGGTAGTTTATGTATGTGTTTTACAAATGAAATATTTTGGCTTAGTTTACAAGTAAGTAAATGAATGGAATGATATTGTGTTGTGTTTTGAATTTATTTATTATTATTCTTGTTATTCAATTTTCCTGAATAATTTTATCTTGTTTTACAAATTAGTTTACATAATCAATAATCAGTTCTGTAATAACATCAAACTGTGATCATATTACTGAGTGATCAGTGAAGTTCAATCCTGTCGGGTGTAGGCACAAACTACCAAAGACAAATGGATGAGGTAGTGAAGTCTGTAGATTGATCAGAATTAAACATTAATACAGTTGGATGTCGGTTTAGGAGTTCAAAGGTTAAGCATTTGCACTCAAGATCGAAGGTCCTAGGCTTGATTCCTGCGAGTTGTAGGAGGTGTCGTGGATCTGCACTGCTGACGTGTCCCATAGCAGGACGAAACGACCGTCCAGTGCTTCCATGTTTCTAACATTGGTATAAAAATCATTGATTCATGTGTAAAAATCAAATACATGCCATTTGGTAGCTGCATTATGTTGTGAAGTGATAAAAATATAAAATGTGTAGCATTGTAGTTTTTTGTTCGGAAATAAATTACTTATTATTATATTATGGCAGTATAAATTGCATTACAGGGTTGTGAAGATTGTTGAGTTACAGATTTGAAATCATGAATCGATCAATGTTAGACCACCATTAGAAATCTGGAAGTACTGGATGGCCGTTTCGTTCTGGCATGGGACTCATGGGATGTGCACTCCTGATGAGTCCCATATTGGGACGAAATGGCTGTGCAGTGCTTCAATGTTTCTAATCGTGGTATAAGAATGATTGATTCATGATATCGATTCATGATTTCAGTGAGTAACTTTATAATCTTCACAACTCTATAATGCAACTAACTTATTTATCAAATAAACTTTAATAATTAACTTCAGCAAGTATTCTCATGATTCTAATAAGAAGGATTTGAACAATCAATTTCAATTGTGACAAATATTACCACTGAAAATGATTTTCTTGACTGCATAATATTGTAAAGTTGACTAAAATTAATAATATAACTCATTGAATACTAACTCTTACGTACATAGATAACATGTTCTCTATGCGGTTAACAAAATGGACTAAATATAATAGAATTAAGACAAGTATTGATCTTTGAAATGTTTTCTGTAGAAAGTGACCTGAACCGACAACCAAGAGATTCAATAATACGTTCAGATTTTTTTTCTTTTGATAAAACGAAGTGAATGATTCCCGCAAAAAACCAAATAAAATACAAACCTAGAGTGTTTGAATTATTTTGTTATTAAGTAGATAAACTTATGATCAAATTTGTAATGGTTTCAATTATCGTGCTGTTGATATTTCATTGGAAATTCGACCAGTTTTCATTGGCCTACGTTCATTCTGTTTAGACAGATATTTCTAGCACAGGAGTTTAGGATGCGTGTTTCGTCCGATTTGAGAAAGTGAGTTAGATGTATCTGCATCCCAAATATGCCAGTCAAGACTGAACAAAGTTCACTCAAAATATCAGTAGCAGTAAAAGGCTATCTAAATTCATTGGTTCAGTGAACAACGCGCTGATGTTTGAAACAATAGGGACTGAATCCGAATCCAGGAGTGAATATCAACTGTAAGATTGGGATGCACTTAACTGGTGAGTCTCAGACAGGCGTATTGGATTACAATGCTAGCCGAATTTCATCTACTGTTAAGCTACTTTTGCCTATGAATTTACTCAGAAATTCCAAATAAGGTAAATCTTTTCTCAAGATTAAAAGGACTAACAATTCCAGTTGCATGATTTTTCAGCATCCTGTGGGTTATTTTTCAAACAATTTCAAATGTGTAAATACACTAATCTCCATAACTCTATAATGAAAATATCGTAAAATGTGCTCACTAGTACTGACTAGCTTCGTGAGGAAATTCTCGGCGTTCTAGTGAGAAGACGTGACCAGTGGAGTTCAACCCTGTCGGGTGTAGGCAGTAACTACCAAAGACAAATAGTTGGAGCCGCACAAATCCCTAAATTAATCAGAGTTAAACATTAACACCGTTCAATGCTGGCCCAAGTGGTCCGGAAATTAGGCGTTCGCAAACAAGGTCGAAGTCCACGTGCTCGAATCCTGTGAGATGCAAGAGTCGTGGATGCGCACTGCCACTAATGAGTCCCATACCAGGACGAAAAGGCCTTTCACTGCTTCGAGGTTTCTAATAATGGTGGTCTAACAATGATTGGCTGATAATTTCAAAAATGTGTAAAAACACTAATCTCCATAACTCTAATTGAAAATTTATAAGCTGCATAATGGACAGTTTAAGTTCAACATAGTCAGAACAAATATTACGGTTTGATTGTGACACCAAATAAAACCAACGGTATATTTTATAGAATACTCAAAAAAATTATCTTTTTCCCAGTCTAAGAGCTGCTAGATTTCATCATGTAGTCCTAGTAATTCAAATAAATATTTTTTGATAAAAATATACTTCATCTCGCTGATTAGCCTCCTTTCGCTAATAATGAATCTTGAACAAGTTGCTCAGTTCAAATAAGTCTATTTAATTTGTACAATCTTTCAATTAATTGACTTATATACTATGAAATAAATAAATATATATATATATATATATTTGAAAAATGCATTATTATGCTTTATTATAATATAATATAATATAACATCATATTTAATAACATTTTAACATGTTATAATTTAAGAAATCTAGTAACTCCTTTCACATAAAAATCAACTGATTGAAAAAGTTTTTTTTTTATTTTTAGTATCATAAACGTCGCCAGAAATACACAATATGAAATGTTAGAAATAAAAACTTATTGCATTAATCATTATATCTTTAAAAATTCAATTGAATAATAATTTCATTTATAATCAATTATTTGGAAATATGCATACACTACACTACACTGCGCTACGCTACGCTACGTTCTATCACTCTATAGCACATACATATCAAGAGAATTTATCGATTAACTTTTTTTTCAATTGTTGATAGTTTTGAAAATGATCCTTGTGAGGTAGTAACCTATCTTATTTAACCAGAAGTGTCCAGTGGAGTACAACCCTGTTTGAATGTAGGCAGTAATTACCAAAGACAAATAGTTGAAGCCGCATAAATCCCTAGAATAATCAGAGTTAGACATTAACACCGTTCGATGCTAGCCCAAATGGTTCAGAGTTTAAGCGTTCGTGCACAAGATCGAAGTCCGCGTGTTCAAATCCTGCGAGGAGCAGGAGTCATGGATATGCACCTTTGATGAGTCTCATACTGAGATGAAACGGCTGTGCAATGTTTCCATGTTTCTAATGGTGGTCTAACAATACTTACTTACTTATTTACGCCTGTTACCCCCAATGGAGCATAGGCCGCCCACCAGTTTTCTCCAACCAACTCTGTCCTGGGCTTCCCTCTCCAGTTCTGTCCAATGTTTGTTCATTCCTCTCATATCTTTCTCTATTTCTCGGCGTAATGTGTTCCTTGGCCTTTCTCTTTTCCTTTTGCCTTGAGCGGTCTAACAATGAGTGATTCATAATTTCAAATGTATATCCTCTTACTGAGTGTGATATACACAGTTCCTAGTTAAATATATAGATGCATTTATATTTTTTTTTGAAATTAACATGCACAAATGAAGTTATGAAATTGTTTTAATGAGTAAATAATCAAGTACAATTTGATATTCTTTTTTCGCATTCGCAACAAATAATCAATATATTGATTCAGTATTTTTTCAGAATAAGATTATTTCATTAATTCACTTTTAATAAGACAGAATTAATTTTTTTTTCTTCTTTTCATGTAAATACGTATTTTTATTTAAAATTTTTTAAGAAATGTAATTCACAGTCTATTTGTAATAAAAAATTACTGCATTCTTACTTAGGTTCAATTACTAATTATAACTTATTTATTAGTATATCATTATCAGACGATATAAACAATTTAATTGTTGTGAAAGGAAGAAATGTGTTCAAATCATATTTCACTTATTCTCGCCATATCAATTGAGCAAAAAGTAGCTAGCTAACTTTTTATATTGAAATCATGAATGGATCATTGTTACGCCACCATTAGATACATAGAAGCACTGTGCCATCCATTTCATCCCAATATGGAACTCAATAGAATGTCTAAAATTGATCAATCTGAGGATTTTTTGCAAACTCACCCATTAGAGTTCAACCCTGTCGGGTGTAGGCAATAACTACGGAAGACAATAGGTGAGGTAGCACAAAATACTTAAATTGATCAGAGCTAGACATTAACAATGTTGGATACCGGTTTTCTGGTCCATAGGTTAAGCGTTCGCATTTAAGACTGAAGGTCCTAGGTTGGAATCGTGCGAGTAAGAGGAGTCGTGGATGCGCACTGCTGATGAGTCCCATTACAATACAAAACGGCCTCACAGTACTTTCATGTTTTTAACTATAGCCTAGCAGTGATCGATTCTTGATTTCAAATAAAAAACAACAATCTCCATATTACTATAATGAAAAGAAACTATCTTCTTCATTTAAAAGAAATTTAGTTGAAAATTTACCAAATTACATGATATGATTTGAAATAAACTAACGTAAGCTATTATTTTCCCATCTTATTTTAATTTTAAAATTAATCTTGTGAATAAGCAGAATTTATATTGTAAGGGAAGTTAGATCCCCGGAACTCACTTGATAAAGATCTTAATTTCGGATTTAATTCATGAGCAGATCAGTTGACCTTGAGATTACATTTCCCAACAGGAGAATCCTTGGCTGTGATTGGTTGATGTGTTATTTCGGTGTGCTATTTTTCCTGGCTCGCCCAAGTACGTTTCTATGATATATCAACAAATGCGATTTGTGTGTTAGTAGAATACACTTTCTACACCGTATCCAGACTTCTCTCTCTTCAATTAGTTGGGGCAGTGGATAAGAGTAACCTATCGCATCGCTGGTTCATTGTCTCGTTCTCGTTTATCGACTAAGGTCAACACATAATAGTTTCAAGCGTATCAATCTAACGAGCATAACATGTACATATATTTTTTTTGAAACCATGAATCGATCAATGTCAGACCACCATTAGAAACCTGGAAGCACTGAAAGACGGCCGTTTCGTCCGGGTATGGGACTCCTCAGCAGTGCGCATCCATGACTCCTGCACCCCGCAGAATTCGAACCCAGGACCTTCGGTATTGTGCGCGAACGCCCTAACCATTAGACCACTGAGGAGTCCCATACCAGGACGAAACGGCCGTCTTTCAGTGCTTTCAGGTTTCTAATGGTGGTCTAACATTGATCGATTCATGGTTTCAAAAAATGTGTAACTTAACAATCTTCACAACCTCGTAATGCAAATATACATATATATATTCATATATTTACAAATCTTTCGTTATATATCATATTATTGTTAATCATAATTATTTTCATTTGTTCTTTTCTTTTTCCCCTTCCCATTTACAACACTAAAGACATTTGATATATTATCAAAATTTAAATTGCCTACATTTATGCAACCAATTCATTGTTTATCAAAATCATGGCCACAACCAGCTGATTTAAATCAATCACAACATAGACGTACATGGATTTATGTTAGTAAAAATCGTCTATTAGAAATTTCACCATTTGAAAGTCAACGTCGATTAGATATCAATGGTAGACGTTGTTTGTTAGTTTTCTCTATACCATCAACAAATTCACAAATTACAAATGTTTCATCAAATTTAAACACAACACCAATTGTAAGTGTAAAAAAATTATGTGTGTGTGTGTGCGTGCTTTTATCTTTTTTTTAAATATTGTTAATGCTTTTTAATGTTAATACCTTATTGTAATATAGAAGTAGATTTTATTAATACACTGATATTTTACAGTCGGTGTATATGAACTATATATAATAAATGAGAATTGAATAGTTTTAAAAAAAATATTTATCAAATATCTTTTTTTTTAAAAAAACAGAAAGAACACTGTACTATGTTATGTATGTATGTATGTATATGATGGAATATTTTTCAAATATCAAACAAAACAAAACAAAAATGATCAATGATCAATAAATATTCAAATTAGTTAGTTAGTTAGTTATTTAGGAAGATTATTATTTGTATATTGATCATTGAGAAGAAGAAAGAACTGAACAATATATATATATATATATATATATATATATATATATATATATATTTCTGTTAATTCAAATATAATAAGTTTAATGTACAATTAAGAAATAAACAGAGGTTAGAAGAGAACTTGGGACTGCCAAATCAAAACATGACACAAATCCATGAAGTCACTGAAAAGTGGACTGAGCCATGTTGATAAGTATAGACTAACTGGTTAGGGTCCGCGAGACGAAAGTAACCGATGGTTAGAGTGTAGTGTGTCGAATTACTGTGTGTTCTTAAGCTCGGTAATTAACTTGTCCAGACGATCGTCACTAAGTAGCGTCTGACGGTTTATAAATCAGAACATGAACTCGTAATGATGAATACGTTTATTCGGGACACACCACAAAGCGAAGCGGAGAAGCAGTGAATAAAACGAATGAAGCAACGTGAACTGGAGAAGTCTTTTGAGCCAACTACTAGAAATAGAGCATGACTAAGAGTATATAGTCAGACAAAAATAAGACAGATATATGACAAGCGAAATAGGCATGCACACACATGAATAAAAGCGATGAATAGTTTACAAGGTCAAATAACAAGTGGGACACATCATGTGAGCTCATACAAACCAGACAACAATAAGAACGAATGGGTACATACAAGTTGTTGCTACGCGAATGGCTTGGTTAAATAGATTAATCAAAAGGGCTTAACCAAGTTAGATGTAAGCGAACTGGAATATATGTGGAGTCACTACAAGAGACCTTGGAAGACATGGCTCAAAATCGTTGACACTGGCGCAGACACATCCATTTTTTGTGTTCTCTTAAATTCTAATCTTCAGAATTCCTCATGATCTTTATCTTTTTCTTTCTAAATTTATCTCACTGAGTTATACTTTTTGAATAATATCGTCGAACCCTAATCTTCTCCATAACCGCTAATACTTCTACTATCGCTACCACTATGGGATATGAAGTGACGGTTGCGTCTCTGTGCTAATGTAATATGTCAACCTGAACTGATTGATGTATCTATGTACGAAGTTCTACGTTGTAACTGATTGACTGACTTATTTTCGTTTAGTATTTTATCATTAAATTGACTGAGGATACGTGATCTTGGAATCGAACATTATGAATGATGGCTACTTGTATTCAACATTGATTAATCATATAAAAACGAATAATTTTTCGCGATATTTGAAAGAATAGCTGACTACATGTGAGAAATCGAAGTAGAATACGGAGGTTAAGTGTACACAATTGACTTTCCAGTCTACTAACACTAATAAATATATAAGCCCACACAGGCAGATTCCTATGGATACCTACATATAGGAAGGAATTTAAATATCTAAATTAACTTTTATTTCGAATCTAGAAAAAACTACATTCATGATAATTATTTGAGTTACTTGAATAATTATTCACTGAAAAACACCATAAGAGCAAATCTTACAAAAGGCTGGAATGTTTGTCTACAGTTATAGTTCTTTTGCTATTTAAATGAGAAACATTGATAAAAAGATGATGTTGTTTTGAAGCGTTACAAATGATTCTGACTGATTGTTGAAAATTACTGCCTCAGTAATATATTGATATTTTTGATAATTTGAAGAAATATGACATCCTCTAACATTACACTAAATGATAAGCAGCATGCCTCTGTAAAGTTTTTTTCTCAAATGGAAAAACAGAAATTATTTTGTTCAAAATCTTTTCACATAGTTATTAAATGTTCTTTATTTTAAATAGACAAATGATAGTCATTTTATACATTTGTTAGGCATGCACACAAACACGTCATTTAGTATGCTTGAATTATTACGAGTTTACCCTAATCGGGAAACGAGAGTGAGGATCCGGCGACACGACCGGCTACTCTAATCCGATTGGACCAAACCCCAATCGAGTAAAAGAATAAGACTTCATATGAAGTAAAACATGTATTCTACAGGCATCCAGAAAGTACGAGGTCCGAGTCCTGAAGAAGGCAAAGATCCTGGACTAGGGGTCCGGGTCATAAAACGTTACAGATAATGCGTATTTATACATTTAGGTCGAATAGGAACCAACGGTGAAGTCTGTGATATTGACAATTATTGTGGTGGTGTTTCGTTCTCTGAGCTGGTTATTTTGGTTGTGGAGCTTTCATTGTTCTTCTGAACAACATCATCAGCACAAACTTCAGATAGAAGAAGTGAAGCATTCGAATTTCTCCACGTTTGACCTGTAGCTTGTTCTGCTAACCTCGATCTTGATTGGTTGTTGTTGACCTTTGACCTGTCGTTGTTTGTAACTTCGTTTCGATTGCACCCCCCTTTTGATCTGTTTCTCGATCCTGTATCACCTATGATTTTCCTAATTGGTTGATAAATTGGGTCAATGTCGATGTGTTTGTTGATTGCTGATTGACCTGAGTGCCAAGCTTCAAAAAAATTCTCTAGTGTTCTTTGTCCTCCCCTACTCAGTATTTCCACATTGTTCCAATCAAATGTGTGTCCATAATTGTCGGTGTGTATTGATATAAGCGAAGAGTTGTCGCGGCGTTTGACTGCTAATTGATGTTCACGTAAACGGAGCTGAAGAGGTCGTCCACTTTGTCCTATGTAGTGTTTTTCACAGTTTGAGCAACATTTGAAGTGACATTGATAGTTAGGATGACCAATGGGAAACAGTATTGAAGTACGTGACATTGATAGCTAAGACGACCATCATATTGGCCAGTAGGAATTGACCAATAGACTTAGGCTTACAAAAATAATTCTCTTAGCATATTTGATGAATATCCTAACAATATTCAAATAATGTTGTCACACTATCACATCTATGTTTGATATATGATCCTCCTTTCTCTAGAAAATCAACTGATAAGAATAATAAGGTTCTAATTATCACGTTGAAATCTTGTCAGTATTCAATCATTCTAAGTGTTATTCTGAAAATCTTCATCTAGTTATATCGTCATAGCTAATCAATTATTTTCATAATTCAAACTAGAAAAAACATACTAATCAATAGCTTCGAAAATATATGTATACCCTTGAGCGACTGAATCACACTTTCATGTGCTATAAAGAGTACAAATTGAATTTATGTTAAGATTTTATTGACCACAATAATTGGAGTTTCATTAGTCAACACATAGCCACCTCCTTGTAAAGAAAAAAACAGCTCATATCCATTCATCATAAAATGAATGGATAAAATGTATGTTTTGTATGTTGTGCAAAGATGTTTAGCAAATTACTTTATCATAATCATTAGAAATGGTGTTCGTTTTTTTTTCCTTGATCAAGTTTTATTTCTCTGACATTTTATGTTGGCACAAATTTGAAAACAAAACTTTTGAACTTACAATTTGATTGATTGTATTATGGGGTTGTGCTTGTAGAATACAGGTTCTACTTCATATCACGTCTTCTTATCTTTACTAAATATGGAGATTGGGATAATTGGATCTGAGTAGTATGTCGTGTCACCGGATTCTCGATCCTCGCTCTCGTTTTCTGACTAGGTAAACTCGTAATAGTTCAAGTATATCAAGCTGACGTGTTTACGTGCAGGCTTAACACTGAGCCGATATCTGACGACGTTAATGTCTAGCTTCAATCAATTCACGGTCTTGCGCAACCTCATACACAGTCTTCGATAGTTACCAGCTACATCCGAACAGGTTGAATTGCACTAATCAAAGTCTGTATTAACCAGATTCCTTCAGTTATACTACAAATAACTACTGCAACCGGGGGGGGGGGGAGGAGGAGTTAGAATTAGATTTAAACATATCCTTTATTTTTTTAAATTAACTACCCTCCAACGCAATTGATTGTAATATTTTTAAATCAGTTAATTAATATTTTTTTTAAAATTAATCAGATTACAGTATAAACTGTAAAATGTACTTTTAGAAATGGGCGGCCGTTTCGTCCTGTTATAGGACTCATCAGTGGCAGTGCGCATCCGTAGCTCCTGCGCCTCGTAGGATTCGAACCCAGGACCTCCGATATTTTGCGCGTGAACGCCTAATCATTTACAATGATTACTTTCAATGAGATCCACTATTAAAATTTCATTATTATAAGAAAACAACTGTATAACATTATTATTATTATTATTTAATATCATGATAATCTTTTTTGAAATTATTTATTATTTAAGATTGCTGCAGCTTTAGAAAATGGTGAAGTTCATTTAACACTTGTTCCTGAATCATGTTATAGTTGTATGGTAAGTTTCAATTATATCTATCTAACTGGTATTGTCTATTATCAATTTGTGTTTAATTTAGTTGCTTCCTCTAGCATTTTTCTTTTTGATTATACCCTTGTATCAAAGTGAATAAATATTGTTTAAATTTCTAATTAGGATAGAAAGCGTTTGATGAAGTGCGCATCCTCGACTCTTGCACCTCGCAGGATTCGAACCCAGGACCTTCGGTATTGTAGGCGAACGCCTAACCATCGGACCACTGAGCCGGTATCTAACGGTGTTAATGTCTAACTTGATCAATTCACAGAGTTGCGCAACCTCATACACAGTCTTCGGTAGTTACTGTCTACACCCGAACAGGTTGAACTTCACTGGTCACGTCTTCCCACAAGAACTCGGAGAAGATTCCTCATGAAGCTAGTCACTAGTGAGCACAGATAATTTGCATTACGGGGTTGTGAAGATTGTTAAGTTACACATTTTTGAAACCATGAATCAATCAATGTTAGACCACCATTAGAAACCTGGAAGCACTGGACGGCCGTTTCGTCTTGGTATGGGTCTTCTCGGCAGTGCGCATCCACGTTAGTAAGTTTACTATTTCAGGTACGCAACAAGTTTCGAATGCTTCAATAAACAATGATTATCAGTTACATTCTGTGGTTGGAACAGATAAGAATATGATATTTACAACTTATTTACTTTCTCCTGTTACCCATCGTTAAGCATAGGCAACCAGTTAGTAATTGGCTAATTACTGTGTCTAGGGCTCTCCTTTCTAGTTGCTTCACATAAACATTATTGACTTTAGTATTTAAGTAGGGGATAAGTTTCGAATGCTACAATAAACAATGATTTCGAATTACACTCTATAGCTTGGACTGATAAAAATGTGACATTTACAACTTACTTACCTTCGCCTGTTACCTCTCGTCAATCCTGGACAGCCAGTCAGAAATCGCATAATTACTCTGTCCTAATCTCTCTTTTCTAATTGTTACCAAAGGCTATTGATTCTTTTGCTGTTTACCTCTGAATCCTGTATCTGAAGTATATTCCGTAGACAACTGTTTATCAATACTTCTCTGTACAATAAAGAATTTCATAGTTCCTCAAGTCTTAGTTCCATACGAAGAGCTGTATCGATGTTTGTATTGAAAACTCTGACTTTGGTGCAGGTTGACAGTTGTTTTCAGTTCCAGGTGTTCTTCAATTATAAGAATCCTGTCCTTACTTTGGTAATTCATCCTATCATATCTCCATCAGATTCTCCATATCTACCAAAGATGCTCTCGAGGTACATAAAAGTTGCCACATCTCGCCGAATTCCTGCATCAAGTATGATTTGTTTACTGCGTGATCTGTTGCATGTTAAGATGTTGTTTTCTCCATTGTTACTTTTGAGACTCACTAGTTCCAAGGCTATTGCTGCTACATTGTCTGTCTGTGTACATTTTTTGTTATGTATGGAATGGTAGGGTTATCTGTTATCTACGAAGTTTAAATCGTCTACAAGCATTGAAGGTATTTACTATATTATATGCTTCATCGAAGATGTTACGGTTTTCATAATCCATTAAACTACCGGAAGAAACAGAAATAGCGAGAGTAAGCAGTCTTGTTCAACACCAGTTTTCACTTGGAAAAAATTTTTTAGTTGCCTTTCATGCATGAATTCGTATTGTAGTCTGTTGTAAGGACTCCGTATAGTAGTGAAAATCTCAGGTACACCATAGTTTCAAAGAAGCCTCCATAGAGTCATCTTGTCCACACTGTCAAATACTTCCTCATGGTCAAAGGAACTGATATATATATCAAAGAGTTCTGTTCAACTGATTGTTCAACAATGGTTCGTAGTGTTGCAGTTTCTCTGGTACAAAATAGAACTTTAGGGAGTCCGGCCAATCGTCTTCGAACTTGGAGGGATAATTCATTCGCTTCAAACACACTTTGTTGAATACTTCCTCGTATAGACAATAGTTGGATACTTTTGTAGTTCTCACACTTATTCAGATCTTTCTTTGGTGACTTAATGAGGAATACTTGTTTCTAGTCTTGCAATACAACTACAAGCTGAATAAAACTGACTGATACCGATTCACTTAAATTTGAATGGAACAGTTCTGTTTTGAAATGTATATCTTAAATACATTTATTCCTCTACTTTTTCTGTCTTTTACAGAAATTACTTTACTTTAGAAAATACTTACTGCTTACATAAGAGTTAATAATTATTGTGAAATCTCGCTTTTTGGCAAAGATGCTACAACTTAACCAAAATTTTAATGTTAAAAAGCAAGCATCACATTGATAAAATAACTAATTTATCGATTAGAACATCAAAACAGAAAAAAAAAATGTTAGTCGCCTAGAATCATCTGACTACACATCTTAAACGAACAGTTGAATATGTTAGGCAATAAATCTTTCATCTAATTTCTGTATATTATTCTTTGACAAAAACCATTTGTGCAACGGCGGTTTATAAAAAATTCGAATATGCATTCAGTTGGATGAGTTCACACAAAGAAATATGCTGTTTAAAAATGTAGATAGCAGAGCGAAGTTGAAAAGAAGAGTGGGCCAACTCAGTGTGATGAACCATAACTAAGTATTTATAGTCAGACAAAATAAGGCTAGACATGCTTTAAGCGAAGCAAACAAAACATGCACACACACACACAAACAAAAATCATCAAGATTTAAAGCAAATAATAGAAAAGGCCAAAGAATAATGACTCGAAAGGAGTAAGTCAATCAATTCGTTCAAAGGCTACGACAAGCCACGGAGGCTCGACATATTGGTGCACACTACATCTTCTTCCACCTGTTTCTCCAAATTAAACTGTTGACTGATGAATAAACCACAAGTTGACCTTATACATTTGTATATTAACTGCACACCAGCTACTTATTACTCATTTCTGTCAATTATAAATGTTGACTGTCGTTTATGATCTTCACTAATTTGATAGCAGAGGTCATTTTAACTGAGAACTTCTACTAAACCATTTGTCAGTACTCTACTGTGAATCTAATCACAGAGTTAATAGTGAAGCGTTTATAAGAGAAGCTTATGTGTTGAATTGCGTTAGTTATTTTGCTCCAGGCAATATAATTTAGGAAGGGTGTAAGCTCCGATGACAGAAATTCTTTGATTCACCAATATGGGGTGATCATTTGTCGACAATGTTCTTAATACTATTGGTTCCAATTACATAGGGAGCTTCAAATCTTTCAAAATCAAAGGAACACTTTGCTGACAAGTGTCAAGTATTACGAAATCTGTTATTAGTATTTCATGAAGGCCAACTCCAACGCACTAGCAAGGCTCTTTTGTTCGAGATAATATTTACTGAACTAAGACAGTGAATTAATTCAATTATGAAGTTCGTTCACTCTTTTATGACTTCAAATTCTTTCTTGTAATAGAATAGTATGTAAACATAACGATCATGAGTGTTTGTCAGATCACCGTATACCAAAATATTGAGAAAATCAGCTTCGATTTCATTAGTTATAGTTCACAAAAAGCTATTAGAAACTTAACATATGCGATCACTACTAAAGAGGGTCATTTGCACTTCTAAACCCAGTATGATTTTCGGACACTTAAACAAAATCACTGCATTTATTTATCATGTTAATGGAGCCAGTTATTTGATACATGTAGTTTTTAACTACTAATGATACCACTCAGTAGTATAATAAAAGATTGATCTAAATTTTACAAATTAGTCAATAGATGGGATTTTACTTATGTAATTAAAAAATACAAGCCTGTTTTGACATTCAGTTACTAAATTGTTAACAGAAATCGAATCCGGAAATTTCAATGAAAATATGCACAATGAATGCGCATTTAAAGTCTTTTATCGAAGTTTTCTCCACAGTATTACTCGGTGTTTTCTATATCTAATCACATTTCAAAAATAATAGAAACACGTTTGTTCAGTGTAAACTGGTTTCATTTTTAATTCTGTTGTGTATGTATGTCGGCTATCAAATGCAAAACAAACATTTAAATGTTTCTTATTTCTAATCAAAACATGAAAGTGTTGCTTTTCACACAATGTAACACGACACAACAGCAGATACGAATATGATAGATAGACTATTATAAATCTGTAACTTGAATTCTTCATTTATTCCTCTCTAGGTGGAATGTTGTTCACTTGGGTTTACCGATAGAAATGAATTAGTCAATCATGTTGTACAAGATCATTATCTAGACGAATCAACAGATGGATTTCGATGTAGCTGGGGTTCATGTGATTTGTATCTGCCGTTAAATTGTTCACAATTTAATAAAGAGGTATGATTTTTGTATGTAAATTTAGAATAAAACAATGAGTTTATGTTTTATTTCTTCAGACGAATAGATAAATACGGTAACTCTTGGAATTTTAAGTACAAAAAATTATTAGAACAACACATATTAAAGCGAACAATATTACTATTTTCTATTAGATCGTCATAAGGCTTTACTCACTAATATACATGAATATTTAAATGAAAATGTTAAACCAACTAGTCAAGGCAATTTAAGAGTCGATAGTCACAATGAAATGAAATAGATTAGGTCACTACACATACTAGGCAGCACTACATGTTGGTAGTAGGAAGGCAGGTGTACTGATAGTAGTAAGAAATATAAAATACGATAACAAAAGTATTTTGTCAATAGGAGGTCAAACGTGAATAAATAGACTCAAAAATAATCATTACAAAACATTAAAACCATTACGTAATAAGAAGTGTATACATAAATTACATAGTGAAGAATATAAAGGGGAGGAGGCAGGAGATTACAAACATATTCAGGATGTGAAAATAATGCTAATAATAACAAAAATAAAATATAAAAATCTTTTAAAACGTCCGTTCGGTTATATCCGGCCACGGAAGGGATTGGGGTGTCACGAATTTCTTCTGAATGTATGAATTCCTACGGCTTCTGCTATATATAGGAGATGGGACTGAACTCCATTGGGAAATGATGGATGTATACGATAGAACACTCGAAACGATCTAGATTTATCTACAATATGACCACTATCAACCAGATGTGGCAAGATATAACTAGGTATTATTTTTATCTAGCCCTTCATAAACCATAATGGTAGGTGTTCACTCACTCGTTGGTTAAGTTGCCTAGTAATACACCCGATATAGCTATCTCCACAGCAGCAGCTGAATTTGTAAATGCATATAGAGGAGGCCATCTCAAGTAACTTATCCTTCGTTTGAGTGGACATCGCAGGTCGACTTGAGAAGGTCAACGCAAGTTTGACTGAGTAGAATGTTCTACTAATTCCTTTCGTCAATCTGTCTTGCAGAGTATCGCTAGCCACATCTCCGTTGAATTGTAGTTTAATAAATAAAGGCTTCTTTCGAATGATCGAAGTGTCCGACTTCTTTTTTACATTATATTTGTGTCAGTCAGCTTTATTCTAAGACAAAATACTAATGTTTCACTGTGGCAAACAACACAATTCATTATCAGTCGATGAATTATTGAGATAGCTTGCATTAACACAATCCTACTGATTTAATTTCAGTTATTAAGTATATGATATTTACATTTCTGAAATATAAAAGCTCAGGTTTCCGCAGTAAACTATTATGAACTATATTGAACATTGACACTTTTTAAAATAAGACAGACAGTATTAAAACAATCATATCTCAACTACATGTCGAAAATAGTTCTTACTAATTATTATCTACCTTTTAGAATAATACCGCTATGATTCTCTGAGCTCAGTAAATATTTAAATAAGAGAAATTATGACAGTCAACGTTGAACAAGAGGCGACTCTTAATCTCATACTTCGTATATGATACTTCTAACCAGAAAAGATATCAGTTGCAGAAACTGACTAGCTGACTGATATGCTCGATAACTGATAAGCTTGAATGCTATTACAAGTTCACCTTACTCGGTAACCTGAACGGAAGCTATGACCCAGTGACACAACAGGCTATTCTGATTCGATTGCTTCCAGCCCTACTAACTAAATGAAGAAGTCTTGATAAGGCGTAGAAAGTGTATTCTACAAGCAATCAGAGAGTACGAGGTTAACAAGCACGCAAATCGAGCTTATTTACCCATGATAGAGACGCCCTTGGGAGAGCCACAAAATAGCATACTAAAATAGTCCATTAACCAATGTCAGTCAAGGATTTTCCGAGTTGAAAATGTGAGATGAAGCTCAACTGGCGCGAAAACATGAAAGTTCAAAATTTCGAACTAAATAAATACAAAATCAGGACCTTTCCAAATAAGTTCTGGGGATCTAACGTCCCCAACATTAACATCAGAAACTTTGTAATCATGTCACACTAAATAGTGTATACAATTTTAGTCTTATTATATACAGAATAATTTGATTATTAATAGGTAATCAGTCGGTAAGAGTGGTCGTGTGTGTTGTTAGGGATAGAAGATGAGATGTTTACTTTCCGGTTTCCGTTACCTGGGCGAAGATGTCTAATCTTAAGGGGCCTGAAAAGAAAACTGAATATTCGCAGTAATCTTGATGACCATCCCACGTGACTTTCGAGTGAAATGGTTTATTGTTTGTTAGTGGGATATAGATGGATCTAGGCATGACTGCGTTAGCTGCGTGCTGATTGGCTAATTCCAATCCAATCAGCGCTAGTCGATACTTGGAGTACAGTCCAGAAGCTTCTCATGTAAAAACTATCAAGATACTAACGTTGTTCTTCTTTCGCCTTCACTTCGGCCTCTTACTTCCATTTAACCTTGTTATTTGGAATATAATCTCTTCCCTGTTCAACCGTGTTCTTCTTTCACATCGAATCCTCTTTCTACTAGTTCATTTTTATATATTATAATTTTTTTGCAGGTATTAGAACATCATGCTCATAAACATGTATATTCATCTTCATAAGAAAGAAAAACAAACTAATTCTCACTGTTCAATATCATCATTCAACAAAAATTGATACTATTCAGTTCTTGTTTATTTGTTTACATAACTATGGATGGAATTTTTTTAAAATTAATTTCCATTAAAACTACCTAAGATTTCATTCGCATTTTTGTCACTTACACACACATATATATAAATGTTCATACTTATTTGTTTAAATGTATTGAAAATATTTTTCACAAAAAAGAAAAAAAGAGTTTTCTATTCATTGAAACAAGAAAATTTCTATTTCATACTCCTCCGCCTCGTCCTCCTCCTCTACAGCCTTCAACAGTGCCTTATTCTTCTTCTTCAGTTTCAAAAAAAAACAAAATTCAAATTGAGATATTATTGATTCTGACAAATTTATATTCAAAATTCAATTTTGTCAAAATCAACTTCATCCCTTCTTAATCAATAATTCCAATATAAAAAAAAGTATTTTGAATTAAAATTTATTCATCCACTATAATTAAATGTGTGTTCTCTTTCATGACATCATTTTAGTTTGAGTAATAATATTTAATTTACAAACAATTGTGTAATAATTTTCAAAGCGTTTATTTGTCTGTTCAATTTACAATGTTTTGTTGTTGATATTGTCGATGAACATTGAAAAAAAACAACTCATCATCCATTATCTGTCTGTCATACAATAAACAGTATTTTTTTTAATCATTATTATCCTTGAAGTCGACGATTATGATGAATACAGCACTCACTCACTGATTAATTCAAGAGTTTTTTTTTTATAACAGTAAACAGAAAAACACTCAACTATATCACCTTTCTTAGCTGAGTTCATTGACCTCTATTTTTTACATAGATGATTACTACTGACTGACTACTGCAATAGTTGACATGATGATTACATTAAATAACTTTCATGTAATTTTAGATTTTTTCTTTGTGTTGACATTTTTTTGTATTTATTTATATACTACCGACTGATTAAATTATTATTATTATTTTTTTAACTATTTTAATTTACTTGACAAAAAATAATATGTGGTTATTGAATTTCAATATTCAATGTGAATAGATGATATGAATAGGTCACAAGATATTATATTGCGGGGTTGTTGTGAAGATTGTTAAGTTTTATTTGTAACCATGAATCGATCAATGTTAAACTACCATTAGAAACCTGGAAGCACTGGACGGCCGTCTCGTCCTGGTATGGGACTCATCAGCAGTGCGCAACCATGACTCCTGCACCCCGCAGGATTCGAACCCAAGACCTTCGGTATTGTGCGCAAACGCTCTAACCGTTAGATTACTAAGCCGGTATCTAACGGTGTTAATGTCTAACTTGATTAAATTCACGGAGTTGCGCAACCTCATACCCTGTGTACATCCGAACAGGTTTGAACTTCACTGGTAGTCTAACATTGATCGATTCATGGTTACAAATAAAACAAGATATTATAATTCTTTTTCATTTTACAATTGTGAGTACTCATCCAAAGTTATAATTGGTTCGAATATAAAGAAAGCCTTTTTTGTGAACTATCATAGAATGAACGAACACTTTTTTTGTTTTAATCCACACAGAATTAATTATACGGATATTTGATGAGAACAAATAAATTTCTATCATTTTATTGATTGATTGATTTTTTTGAACAACAGATAGATAGATAGATAAACAGACATGATTAGCATTACATTGAAAAATTGGATTATGAAATAGTATATGTGATTAATTGACTCTATAAATAGTTTAACAACATTGACTGAACATTTTGTTACGTCCTAATTTAATATTCATTATTATGAATTATATTGATTATCAATTTGTTGAGGACGTTAGATCATCAGAACTCGCTTGATAAAGGTCTTAATTTAGGATTTCCTTCATGGGCTGATCAGTTGACCTTGAGATTACATTTCCCACCACGAAAATCTTTGGCTGTGATTGATCGATGTGTTATTTTAGTATGCTATTTTTGTGACTCTCACAAGGACGTTTCTATGATGTATCAAGGAATATGATTTGTATGCTTGACATCATTATATTTACTGGGTGATTGTAGAATACATTTTCTACGCTATATGAAGACATTTTTGTTAGTTCCTTTAGAGCAACGGATCAGAGTAGCCTATCGTGTCACTAGTTCATTGTCTCGTTCTCGTTTGTCGACTAATGTGAACCCGTAATAGTTTTCAAGCATATCAGGTGACAAGCATAACATAATTACAGTTCCGTATCCTATTTTTAGTGTCTGTCTTTAAAGCTCACTACTTAATCCTGTTGATTCTTCTTATACGGGATGATAATGAACAGATTGAATTTGCAGAATTCGAACACTTTATCATAGTCCAGTTTTTTACTATAAACAAAATACTAATATTTCAGTGTGACATGCCACACAACTCACTATCAGTTGATGAGTTATTTAGAAAAATGGAATTTAGCGCAATCCTTCAGATTTAATTTAAATTCTTAAATAAATGATATTTACACTTGAAAAATATGAAAATTTTGGTTTCAGTAGTAAAATGTTTGTTTAGTAACTATTGGGAAGTTGTTTATTTTCAGTGGAATCAAGAAAATCAACTTAGTATTCTAATTCTATCTGTTGAACCAATACATTTAAACTTGGCTTTAAGTTTTCTTGCTAATTCACACACGCTAATTTGGATAGCCCCTTGAACTAGAGAGAAAGCATGACTATTTCACAATCTTGTCAAACAAATAAAACAATATCTGTTTACACAGTTGATTGATATAAATAGTTTTTTACAAATAGTCTAGTTCTAAAGGTAAAAGCCTTGATTGGAATTCTCTGAACACTTTAAGTAGAATGGTGAAAATATTTGACATACCTTTCGACACCATTAGTGTTTATTTTCAAACAGATCTTGTCAGTGAATTACTTGATCAGCAATCCATATTAGGAAGTGGTCGCAGTTCTCAGTTTATATATACTAGGCTAAATACTAATATTCAGATATATACATATATATATTCCGGAAAGTGCACATTATCGTACGTCCGGAAAAAAAATCACTTACACTTTATTTGTGTTTATTAAGCCTTGTCTTATGATTTACTGTTTAGTTCTCTTTACCCTGTTTAGTTAAGAGAGGCGGCAACTTCAAAAGGAAACAATATCATTTCAGATATCTTATAATATCACTACAACCAGTAAATTTTTATTTAATGAGTAAATCGATACTGTATTTAGTAATAAGTAAATAAGTTATTGCCATCAAACTAAATGTACTTTTTTTCTAATGAAGTCAGTAAAAATATATTTCTTGAAGAATTTACAAATTGATGGGACGTATTGTTTGATGAAAACTTCATCCTTAGTTCACATTAGTATTAACTCAAGCTTAAACTAAATGAATTTCATATTTTCATTCTATCGTTTTTGACTGAACAGGAGTATCTTGATTAACTGACTATAAGATAATTTTATTTGAACACTTTAAAAGTAACTGATATGGCAGGTATATTACATGGTCTTGTTTGAAACAAGTATGTTTGAGTCTGGTTACTTCTTAATGCAGCTAATCTGAGGCTTATCACAACTACCCAATCGATCTCAGCTAACCCAATCAAGTCTCCAAGACCGATTCAGTCCAAATCCCACTGTATTTACCAATTCACATGTAACTGCGGAGAAAGTTACTTAGGGAGGACAGATCGCCGATTGGTAGACGGGATAGGGGAACATATTCCAGAATGGCTAATCAAATGCCTGATTCATCAACCTAGTCCCATCATCTCAAAATTCGATCCAAGAAACCCAGCCTCGTCCATTGCAAAACATCTAATGATGAGTGCTCATCAAATTGACCCAAAATCAGCCTTTAGAGTTGTGACATGTAATCAAAACCCACACACTGAAACTACTCGAAGCTATGTTGATTGGTCGGAAAAGTCCAACTTTATGTGTTCAAAAGAAACTGTAAGTTGACCTTTGTTTACTCACCATGGTTGTAGTGAGTGAATATCATGCTAAATAAGAAATTTTGACCTTATCTTCAAAACTGTATTTACACAAATAACATGTTGCTTGTAAGTTGTGACTGACGAGAAAGCACGAAATGGTACTACTATCTCACAAAATATGTCTTCTTATTTCTCTATTCAAATTTATCAAAGGGAACCACTGTTTTGAATTTTGTACTTCTTAATAGTGTTATCTAGCAAATTTAATATATGTTGATTGATTGATATTACTCAATATGAAGAGTTTGTCCTAATTGGTATTCATCAACGCGGCGTGGTAAATTTTTCAGGGAACTATTGCTCCTTTTACGATTCAAACTTACATCAGTCATTTTCATTGTCTCTAAGCAATTTTGACGAAAACAAACGTTTTGTATCTTGTTGTTTCAACATGAGCACTAGCGTCTAAGAGTTCCTCCCGCTACATCCGGTAATCAGAAACTGACCAAAATGTACTGCAAAAATAAGTTACTTAAACTAATGAATACACTCTGTGGTGGTGTTTTGTTCTCTGAGCTGGATGTCTCAGTTGTGAGGCTTTCATTGTTCTTCTGAACAACATCATCAGCATAAACTTCAGATAGCAGAAGTGAAATATTCGAATTTCTCCATGTCTGATCAACAGGTGGTTCCGTTAACCTCTATCTTGATTGGTTGCTGTTGACCTCAAGCCTGTTGCTGGTTGCACCTTTGTTTTGATTGTATTGAACAAGCTACGGGTCAAACATGGAGAAATGTGAATATTTCAACGGCATACAAACCATGTTCAAGAGAGCAAATACACACTGCAAATACACACTACAAATGAAGCACTAAAAAAAACGAGGAAAAACATCTTAGTCATAAGATACACAACGAAAATGTGGACATACATTCGATTGGAACAATGTAGAAATACCGGATAGAGGGAGCGCAAAGAACACTAGAGAATTTTTAGAAGCTTGGCACTCAGGTCAATCAACAAACACATCGACATTGACTCAATTTATCAACCAACCAGAAAAAAAATCATAGATAAATATAGGATCAATAAACAGATCAAAAGAGGGATACAATCAAAACAAATGTGCAAACAACGATAGATTTAAGGTCGACAGCATCCAATCAAGATCGAGGTAAACAGAACAAGCTGTTGGTCAGACATGGAGAAATTCGACAACTTCACTTCTGCTATCTGAAGTTTGTGCTAATGATATTGTTCAGAACAACAATGAAAGCTCCACAACCCTAACATGTAGTTCAGAGAATGAAAAACCACCACAATCATCTACCGGAGCTACAAATTTCCTACATCATCTCATAATCAATACACTGTCAATAAATTGTTAGTTTTAAATAAAGAGATTGTCTACTACTAATGTACTGAAAGGGTACTAAATTCAAATTTATATTGTCTCATTATTTTAAACTATGATAATGAAACATTTTGAAATTGTTTAAGAAACGTGACATCCATCCAGAAACATGATAAATGGCTGATTCATTTAAAACGTTCTTAATACTGCTCACTTATGCATACAACATCGGTGAGAAGCATAAAAAAATACAAAGTTGGCTAGTTCAACTAATTCACATTCTTGTCTTCAAATATTTCGGAACAAAACTGTACATATATATATACTATCACCACTTACTAATGCTTCATTTTCTCCTTGAAGCAACAAGTTATTTTTGATATGTAAAGTATTAGGAAGTAACAAGTATGCTTAAAAAATTTATTTTCATAGATACATCTAAGGATTACGTAACTAGAATTGCATTATGAATACTAATAAATAAATAAGTAAATTTAAATAATAAATAGTTTTCTTTCCACCAATGATATTCATGTGTGAACCAATTTGACTGAATATTCATTACGATACAGTTTTCTTATTCAATGAATGAATATTCTTGTGCTAAGGCTTCTTTCTATTTATTAGGATATTTTTTAATTATCTAAAAAGTTTATTAATTTAAAAATGAATTACGATTAGATTATCAGAGGTAAAAATATGTGTTATAAATGAAATAAAACATTCGTATGAAAGAAAAGTATTGAGCATTGAACAGTGTATAAAACTACTGTAGTGCGCGCTACTTATAAGTAGTAGTATATGACGTGAGTGTCAATGTAATGTCTGGCAGCAGAAGATGGGGGAAGATCAAGAAAGGAAGAGTGGGAACACAATGGAATTTGTATGAAAAGCATGAATAAGTGAAATGTCAGACAATGGATTGAAGATTTGCAAATTAACCGTTTACGATATGGTTTTCCTATTTTACTGAGTAACTCTGTAATTTGCGATAAATACAACTCGGTTTCCCTCACCTGTGTTCTCCTTCACTACACTACTAGCTAAGAGGTTGTTTTATTTCATTCAGTCTTAGATCCATAGGTATTTTAAATTCAAATTTAACTAACCTAATCCTGTCTACAAACTGCTCTCCTTTTTTAAAGTAAAACCTCAAATCTGAGAGCATATATATTTTGCTGAACGAAATGAATAATTTTTAAGTATAGTTAAGTTTATTTTAAACATTACTGGTATGATATTTTTGTTCAGCTAATAAAAGTCAATGGTAGTTTAAGACCGACTGTTTTTGAGTTATCTGTTTTAATGATGAACTGCTATTATTTTTATAGTTAACAAAACGTTTTTTAAACGAGCTCATAGGCAGTAAATCAGTTTGTAGAATAATAAAAAACATTGATGAAAGAATATCAAGAGGGTTTTGTTCACTAGTTCTAAATACAATTTATTTCAGTTCATATATGAAGAAGTTAACTTGTCTTACAATGGATAGTTTACCCTAGATGAAATAGAATATTTACGACGAGTAGACAAGGATCAATCTATGGGGAATAACTCAGTAGCCCTCAAAAAAGGTGAAAATCATCATAATAAATCCTAATAAAAGTCAAGAAATAGTTATTTTAATCTTATTACTTCTACAGAGAGAATAAACGGTTTAGTACACAACTTTAAATTGTATGAACCAAGAGATCGAATGACAGCTTTATAGGATTTATTCAGTTTTGGCCGTGTTAACGTGACAGCACATTGCTAAGAGTTGATGTTTATCCCTAGTTTTATTCTCTCGAGGAGATAGATATGTGGTTATTTTATTCTAAACTTAATGCTCCCTGAACAAAAGGAGCTTTCATTTCTATGCTTCTTATTTACCAGTGATTCATGCACAATCTCAGTGATTAAAGTATATAATTTATTTAAATGTCATATTCATCACTTTATTAATTGTTCTAACAGCAAAATCTACATTCTAAAAGGGAAATGTCAAGACACAGATTTACTGTGTAGTATTTTAACAGAGAAAGCGGTTATCTTTAAAATTTCATGATATATATGTCAGATGACTGGAAACCTAAGGTCAAGACAGTTAACATCACGAACTACATTTGATTAGTTACCTAATAGAGCCAGCAAACAATAGATTAATCTTCTATCCCAGAATGGAACCTCTAGTAGTAGTAGTGGTAGTAGTAGTAGTAGTAGTAGTAGTAGTAGTAGTAGTAGTAGTAGTAGTAGTAGTAGTGTAGTGAAGGAGAACACAGGTGAGGGCAACCGAATTGTATTTATCGCAAATTACAGAGTTACTCAGTAAAATAGGAAAACCATATCGTGAACGGTTAATTTGCAAGTCTTCAATCCATTGTCTGACATTTCACTGTTCATGCTTTTCATACAAATTCCATTGTGTTCCCACTGTTCCTTTCTTGATCTTCCCCCATCTTCTGCTGCCAGACATTACGTTTACACTCGCGTCATATACTACTTATAAGTAGCGCGCACCACAGTAGTAGTAGTAGTAGTAGTAGTAGTAGTAGTAGTAGTAGTAGTAGTAGGCTGTATCTCCAGAAATAAGGCATAGAGATTCTATGCTACTAACAACCACATTGTCCTTAGAGCATTAAATCAGGATCCGATTATTTATATTTTCAACGCAACTTGATTCAAAATGACCATTTACTGTTGTCAGTGGTGAGCGTCTCACACCAAACTGAATCGAATTGATCACGACGTGTCACTAAAATTTTGGGAATAGGATTCACAGTTCCTTATTAGTGAATATATAGTTGGTCTGACACGGAAACTTTATGATGACTATTCACCTTGGAAATCACTTTCTTCTGGAATTGTCCAGTTTGAGGCAGTTTACAATATAAACTGTCTTTAAGTCAGACAATCTTCATAAATCCACACTAGTAAAAACTTTCCAATGCAAAATACAATTTACAACGAAACAAACTAAAACAAAATTGCTGCATGAGATATAACCAAACACGGATAATAAAATACATCTAAACATCAATATACAATTGATTCACCTAAATACGATCCACGATCATATGAAATACTCATTCGTGCACTTTCATTGTGACCACTTTCTTCCAAGGTTAAACGACGTAACTGCATCTACACAATAGCCATAATTGTGATATTGTTTCTGACAGTTTTGATTCATTTTACCTGTAGGTGTAATTTGCTTGTAAATAGTAACTTTTTCCATCCAAATAACTTTGCTAACTCTTCAATAGGTTTACTTGATTGATTTAACGTGGTATGGAAGTAGATTTCACGCCATAATGAATCATCATTACAAATCTTTAAATAAATATTAGTTCAGACGGTAAAGATAAAAATCATTACTTGATTAAGATATTTTGATGTAGTTCCTAAATTAATCACATCTTCCAAGTTTAGATAAAAAATTATTTTTACCAAAATTTCATTCGGTATTCTAACTAGATAATCCAAGTTCCCAACGCATATGTTTAGACAGTAGTCTAATGTTTTTTGGCCCATAACTCGAAATATTTCACCTGAAAAAAAATTAATGATAGGTATGATACATCTGTTTGCTATGAGCTCATAAATTAATTTTAATTCTTATTTAAGAATTTCGATGTTTTATATTTTATTAGTAAGTATTACTGAACTGAGTTATCCTAAAAGACAGAGTGATTTAGCATGGTGATCTTTAGAAAGACTTTCTACATTTGGCTTATCAACTTCAGTATCTATTATTTCTGAAAATTTTTGAAAATAAACAAACTGATCACTAGCCATTTTAATGACTACCTCTTTTTTTAAATCGAAAAATCAACTTACTTTGCATACGACCATCTTGTTCAAATTCCTCATAAGTTGCTATCCTTTCACCTGGATGAAATTTTGCCCCATCATTTCTTGATGTAATTTTCCACCATCTCAATTTGAACTTGTAAAGAAAACAGGAAAAATATTTTACCTTTTTGGTAGTACAGTTTTAGAATTTACTGGTATAAACTGTAATTACCAACTTTAATCCCATTTACGAGTCACATTTAAAACGGTCGAGTAAAAATTAAAACTCATAAATGACTGGTTAGTCTAGGAAGCCTTTCAGTATCCGCCTTTTTTCTGATAATCGTAAAAAACCTCTTTGGTCATCAATTATGACTGAGCGTTATTCCTTCTACTTTCTTTGAGCATTTCATTTTTATCTATTTTAACATCAAACGGCTACCTTAAGTTTGAATCAGAGAGAATAATAGGTATTTAGTATAACTATAATATCAAAAGCATGCTTCTAAAAGGCTGTCAAACATTTACATGAGGAAAATGTCATAATACTAAACGAGGTAAAGGTAATGCTAGTAAGAACGTGGGATAAAAAGATCCGGAATAAGTTGAGGGTAAAAACAGATAGTAAAGCCTTTAAGGCATAATGTATGGTGACGAGTAAATACATGGACTCGTACAAGATGGCTTTTGACTTTTTCAACCTGGCGTTCTGTAACTGTTTCGTTCAATACATTTTTTAAAATCTAGTTATGGAGTATATGAATGCCATCAAATCCGAAAACTATAGGTATTTGAAATTAAGTGTTGGTCGTACGAATGTACAGTACGACGAATGATATTAAAACATTTATATGTGGTTATTATATCGTACAAAAGTCTATATAGCTGTCTTATTTATTATTAACTTGCAAAATCCTTCCAAAATCTGAAAATACTACCAGAATACGTCCAAAATCACTACTTTTATTCCGTTCTTCGACTTGAATTATAAACAATTCAATTACGTCCCCTTGCGGTTTTACGAAGTTAGTAAGAATAAAACTTATGAGTTTAAACTTCAATGACTGAACACTTTTTGAAATTTCAAAATCACTCAAAGCACAAATATCAAGTGCCTCAAATCTGTATTTCGTATTATATAAGCTTACTTTTCCGTATAACAGTATGGCAAATGTTTGTCAAGGTATATTGCATCCGTGTAAGTCATATTGTTTATCAACAAGATAAATGATATAGCTTCAGCAAAGAATTGAGGTTTACCACTCCCCATATAATTTATAATATGGTCTGTTAGAAATGACATTTATACAAAGTAACTGTATTTAAACTACAGCTGAAATTATTTCCTTTTGTGAACTAGAAGGTAGAAGTTATTTTATTTACACTCTTAGATACAAGAACCTTTATAAATAAAGCTCTAGTGCACATTTCCTATTATGCAAAACAATTACTCCCTGAGTATCGTTGAAAAAAATCAGTAGGTTTAAGTTTGTCTGCGACTACTGACAAGTAACATGAATAAGGCTATCAGTATGACGAGATAGAGCATCATATTTAAGTTAAGTGAGATTTTCCACTGAAAACGAAGTAGGATGACTGTGTATCTATTCTCTAGTACATGTACGTTAAATGTTTTTAAGTTCCAAAGGCATTTTCTGAATAATCGTAACTCTTAATACGTTTGTGAGACGCTCCAAAAGATAATTGAAAACATTTTCGTGGTGATGATTAGTTGAAAAGCAGTCTTCGGGATGCTGAAGTTAATATTTAACGTACAACATAAAGGCTAAGTGAAACAGTCCCGGGGTCACACGCAACGTTAAATAAGCTCTCCACGTTGAGATTTGAGAGTATAAATATCCGAATAAAACATTTTCATAGCTTTAAAATAAGAGGTAATGTAGTGTGACGTTTTTAGCTGGGGGTTATTCCGGTGAATATGAGTAAAATGTGTTTATGACCACTAACTTTAGTTGCGGTAATTAGCAGATGATAAAAGTCTTTTGATGGAGATGGAGCAATAGCCGCAAAATGTGCTATGTTTTCAGGGTCGAACATATTATAATACGCAAATAATGGATTTTTAAGCACTTCGGTAAAATCATGTTTCATTTTTAAAAACTTTCGATTACATAGCTTATGACGACAATAATGTTTGACGTATTCTAACCAGTATCGCATATTCAATGTATCAATGCAACGTCCAGTACAGTTTTTAAGTGCTGTAATAAATCACTTGATTTATTTGTACTTAATTCCTAGTTTTTCGGTCTGATTTCATTTATTTGATAATATCTAACGGCTGGTAGTCCAGTTCTTAATTATTTATCAATCTCTATGTCCTCTGATTTAAAGTTCGTTTGACTCAGAGAAATAGAGTTTCGCATACAAGAAGCTATCACATTTACAGACAGGCGGTTATTCCACTGCAACGCAGAGAACTATAAAGATAAAGTTTTACTAATAATGACAATGCAAAGATTTCAGAATTAAGGAAATAAACAAAAAGTTTAATTAATTGGTAATGAAAGTAGTGTGAGAGGGTGGATGGATAAGGATAAAAGAGGAAAGAGGTAATAACAAGCGAGATAGGATGGCGATCTTAGAAAGTGGTAACGACGATAACAAGCAAGTTTGGATACTTGAATTAGGCATGGATTTTCTGGACAGAAAATGATAATCAGTATGTGAATAAATGTTTATGAAGACTCCTTGAAATTATCCCAGTCACTTTGTCTGGGAGATCACTTCAGGAACGAAGATCTCTTAATGGCCAGAAGTGAGAGCTTACCTGTGTGGTCACTCTATGAAGTGAGATTTTTCGAGGGTTACATCGAGGGGTGTAATGATA